TATAAAAAAAATTTGGAATCAAGTTCAACTAACAAATAATGAGTAACTGGAATTGGAATGAACAAATTGGAATCGCAGTTGTATACTTTAATCCATTGTTAAGTTTATCTGTAAAATTCCAAGAAGAGGTTCCACTATAGATAGAAAAAAGTTGAAACAGGCCCCTATAGAGTATTTTGACCAAGTCATAACAATCATAGACTTACTAGCGAATCTAACTAATGGAACTCTTACTTCCACACCCTTCGAACTCAACACCTCTCACAGTCCTCGGCTTCTTAGAGCGAGCCGCTTCCGTCTATGGCGACTGTCCGTCCATCCTCCACGCAACAAACAACACCGTCCACACTTGGTCCGAAACACACAACCGCTGTCTCCGAATCGCATCGGCCCTCACTTCCTCCTCTCTCGGTATTAACCGAGGCCAAGTCGTCTCCGTCGTGGGCCCTAACGTCCCGTCCGTTTACGAGCTTCAGTTCGCCGTCTCAATGTCGGGAGCCATCTTAAACAACATTAATTCGCGTCTAGACGCACACGCACTCTCTGTCCTCCTGCGTCACAGCGAATCCAAGCTCGTTTTCGTCGACCAAAGCTCAATCTCTTTAGTACTCGAAGCAGTCTCGTTCTTGGGACAACACGAGAAACAGGGCTGACGAGAAACCTCACCTCGTCCTCCTCAACGACGACGAGGAAGATTCTTCGTCCGCTTCGGATTTTCTTGACACTTACGAAGGGATCATGGAGAGAGGAGACTCGAGGTTCAAGTGGATCCGTCCTCAAACGGAATGGAAACCAATGGTTCTTAACTACACTTCCGGAACGACGTCGTCTCCCAAAGGAGTGGTACTTAGCCACAGAGCGATTTTCATGCACACCGTTAACTCGTTGCTTGATTGGTCTTAACCAAACCGGCCGGTTTACCTCTGGACTCTACCGATGTTCCACGCCAATGGTTGGGGTTACACTTGGGGCACCGCGGCCGTTGGAGCTACCAACGTCTGCACGCGTAGAGTTGACGCACCAACTATCTACGACTTGATCGATAAGCACAATGTGACCCGCATGTGTGCTGCACCGATGGTTCTCAACATGCTCATAAACTATCCGTCCACTAAGCCGCTCAAGAACCCGGTTCAGGTATTAATAGGTACCCCGGTTCGATGTCGGTTGGTTTAGTTTATTCTATTTAAGCTTTCATTTCACAATCAGCTTTTCTCTATGTTTTGGCTAAATTCTGAGATCAGGTTATGACCTCTGGAGCTCCACCTCCGGCAGCAATTATCTCCCGAGCGGAGTCGAGCGGTTTCAATGTCAGCCACTCGTACGGTTTAACGGAAACCGGTGGCCCGGTTGTGTCATGTGCTTGGAAGCCAGAGTGGAACCATCTCGGTCCGTTGGAGAGAGCTCGGCTGAAATCAAGGCAAGGAGTAAGAACAATCGGATTTGCGGAAGTCGATGTAAGGGACCGGAAAACAGGAAAGAGCGTGGAACACGACGGAGTTTCGGGTGGAGAGATCGTTTTCAGAGGCAGCTCGGTGATGTTGGGTTATTACAAAGACCCAGAAGGAACCGCGGCTTGTATGAGAGAGGACGGTTGGTTCTACTCCGGAGACATTGGGGTTATACACAAAGACGGTTACTTGGAGGTCAAGGACCGGTCAAAGGATGTGATCATATGTGGAGGAGAGAACATAAGCAGCGCAGAGGTTGAGACGGTTCTGTATACAAAGCCGGTGGTGAAGGAAGCTGCAGTTGTGGCTAAACCGGATAAGATGTGGGGAGAGACTCCGTGTGCTTTTGTGAGCTTAAAGCACGATTATAAAGTTGATGGATCGGTGACTGAGAGAGAGATAAGGGAGTTTTGTAAGACGAAGTTACCTAAGTATATGGTTCCGAGGAAAGTGATTTTTCAGGAGGAGCTTCCAAAGACATCTACTGGAAAGATTCGGAAGTTTCTTCTCAGACAAATGGCCAAGTCTCTGTCTTGAAGATCTCCCATGAAATAAAATTTTAAAAAGTGTACTTTTAAAAATTAAGATTAATTGCTTTTGGCGTTAGTAGATCGAATTTTGGACTCAGGCTGTTGAATGAGATAAACACATGTAGTACCTTCAGTTTCAGGCAATGTCATGAACCTAAGACTACTCAGATAGTAAGGTATTGAAGGAGGAAATATAAGAGATATCAACCCAAAGTCCAAACTGCTAATAAAGAAAACGAAGGGTCAACGAGGAGTGACCCATCTCAAACAACATCGAAGTTTATCAAGAACTATTTCAAACAGAGTAGAGAGTACGATGCTAATTCATTTCAGAATAACCTCAGAATCGAAGTATATATACGGCTCTTAAATCGCGAAACCAGGAATCAGTTTCATGTCATTGGTATCAAATTCCTCTGCATTAATCCAAAAGAACAAATTGTCAGAAAAACTAAGCGTTTTGACAGTTAAAGACAAGGTTTTTTTTTAATTAATACATTAAGATACAAGATATAAACCTCGACAAGCTTTTCAAGCGAATTCCGAGAAATTTTTTTACCTTCGAAAATCAAATAGCTCATGGTTCTCCCTAAGACCGATCGCTAGCTTGTCTACACTTGAAGTCATCCTCGCGAAACTGCTCAGGATCTTCCGTAATTGATGTCGTTTTTTACGTAACGGGCTAAATTAGTTTATTATAATTAGGCCTTTAGAACCGTAATAAGGCCCAGAGTCTTTGATATATGGTTTGTTTTTTTTTTTAAAACAAAATTCTCACTAATGTTTTAATTGTATTTAAGGGCTTGTATTACTGTTCTTAATAATTTTTATAATTAATATTTAAATTAAATTTGTCGTCTTTTTTTATAAAAAAAATTCACTCTTTCACCTTTTTTTTTTGGGCAACATCCACATAACTTTTCTTTGTTATATAATTTTTCTAAAATTAAATAAATCATAGGAGCCCTCACTGGCTCACTTTTTAACAATTTCCGTGGTCATTTCAATGCTGATGAAAATATGTAAAACTTATATCTAATTATCTATGATGATTAATAAATTCATATATTTCATTTCAGTACTTGAGAATGAAAACCTTTATCAATGGCTTTTGGCAAGTATACAAATTTTTGAAAGCCGGCCAGTTCTGCGAAATATTGTTGATGGGGATACAAAATTCCACGCGGCATCAGACCAAATTAAAGAAAACAAATGCAAATGAATGGTCAACAAGCTTCCTCTAATAGGTAGAGAATCTCGCATTTTTATTTTATATTTTTGCGAAAGTATTTAGAATCATTAATCTATTTTTTTTTAAAAAAAAAGAGAAAATTATTCAAAGTTCATGTATCACGGATTCACAATATATGTTATTTAGATCAGTCATATAAAAGAATAAAAGATTACCACCTTAGTTTAGAAAGGCGGGGCTGCGGGAGAATGGTCCACATCAATCAATCTCTTGCAAGATATATATGCTCCCCCTTTGATATAATATAGTCACAACGAGAGATTACTCGAAATCTTTTTATTTTTTAACAAACAAGTATGATTTATGGATTTTTTTTTGTATACGAGATTTTATGGTCGATGAGTTATATAGTACTTCAAATCTTCAACTGAAGCATCGTTTTTCTTTTTGATTTAAGGACATACCGATATAAATTATTTTAGGGACCACATAATTCTAAAGATTATTTACTGCATTTTTTCTGTTAATAGATTTCTTATAGAACTGGTACTTAAGTTCATAAGTGGTGAGTAATTACCAAAAAGTGGTGATTATGATGATTATTATTGTAGTTACTTATTTTTCTTACTTTTATCAATCAATCTTAATTAAAAAGCGACAAAATTTTTGTGGATTTGGTACGTTTCATATCAGGGTTGGTCCTTATAACGTACGATTCTACCGCTCATCTAATAGTATTCTGTTGATTTTTAGTATGTAAATGTCATATTGTTTAAGCAACAACGAAATATAAAAACTGATTTTCAAGCATCCTCTGTTAGCTGGAGTATTAACGATCTCATTATCGTATGTATTGTAATTAATCAGCTTGAGGATTGAGAACAGATGAGTAAAATGGTGGTTTATTTCGTATCTCATCTTGTGTGATCCTAAGAAGTATCAAGTTATAATATCTTCCTTGTTTCACCTAAAAAGTATTACTCATTATGTATAATCTGCGAGTTTTCTTTACTGATATTTTCATCATTTCATGCCACATGTTTCTTTTCTTTTTGAAACTTTTTTCTTCGCTGCATGTTCTTACCGTCTATTCATGTATCAACTTTAAACTTAAATCATTAGTTATTTAAAAAAGCAAAGCGTGAATCCCTATTCCCAAATAAAGACCATGATCCAAGTAGTCAGGTCCGCCGCTCCAAGACTGTTGAAGATGGAAAAGATAAGATAAAGACACGCTTCATTTGTCTTTATTAGGTAAAACTAAAGGTAGAAAAAAAGAGTCGGGACCAATCTATATCATGCTAAGAGCATCTCCATCCCTCATTCTTATGATGAATTCTTAAATATTATTTAATATTAAATTTGACATTTTAAAAAAATATTAAATATTGTTTTTTTCTTTATTTTTCTTTTTTCTAATTACATAGTGCTATGTGTTATATACCTATTAAAATGAAATTTTTTCATAAAAATTTATGAACTTGAGATATAAGCGTTTTTTTTTTCTGATTTTTTTTAATACCTAAAAACCCTAACAATCCACTATATCCTTGCAATGGAGATAGTCTAATTGCTCATCTCGGAAAAAAATAGTACAATTAAGTGGCTTAAATTAATAATTAATAACTATAAAGTATCTCAATTAGTTAAATACTTTATTGCAGCATAATAGGTTCTCTAAAGGAAACTTAACTAACAAGGCCACGTGGGGGAAATATCAGGATTAATAAAATACGAAAAGTATTATTAAATGCATGTTGATTGGCTTGTAGGAGAAGTCTCACCAGCTGATAAATTGAAGGCAAAATCTACGAGTTTATGTTCTCCTTAAGAAGACAAGAGAGAAGTAGACAGAGAGAGAGAGAGAGAGTAAAGAACGATGAGCTCGGTAGAAAAAGCGGTGGCCGTAGAGGATGGAGAGTGGCGACATCGACAGTTGGGGCCGAAACAAGGGAGTGTCTTCCCAAAAGAGAGGAAGTTAGTGAAGACAATGATTTTAGAGGCTCTGTTTCCATCTCGATCTCCTTCAAAGTTCAACCAGATAGTAGAGCCGCAGAATAGCAAGCGCGTGCAGCCCACGCTCCGGTAGCCTTCAGATGATTATTGTTTTTTTTTTTTAAGTAAACTAAGAGATTATGGGCTTACGCCAATCTATAATCCAGTTGGATCGAAAGCTAGAACAAGTTAAATTAGTCTTTTTTCCTGTAATGATGTCTCTCTCTTGGGAAGAATTGACACTGAAGATAATTTGTGTTCTTTGTTTTCTTTAATGAGAATAGATTTTGTGTTTTGTTGATTTCACTAGTTTTTTTTTTTTTTTTGGTATTCATCGTGTATTCGTGTTAATAAAAGATCCCTAGTTTACTACAATTAATGCATTTATCTCTATATTGTTTACTTTGGACTTAAACGTTAGAAGAGATTGAGAAGCTTCAAACGCTAAAAAATATAAAAAAGATTGGTCAGATATGATTGAAGTCATGGTTTAATCAATTTTATAGTACAACACGTCAAAAAACTGAAGAAACGAAACAATTAAATGAACACAACATTTGTTTTTTTTTCGCTAACTTAAACACAACATTTTTGTTAAATAAGTAATCCGTTCTTAAACCTTTAGGAAATAGATAGATAAGTTGGTGAACAGAAATAAATAGATAAATGAAAGGTGATCTCGTGCTAGTCCCTTCCGAAGATGATAAGAACGGATCGAGATTATTTTATTCACCAGCAGTGTCAATATGGTTCACAACTACAAAAACAAATCAATATTAATTAATTTTGGTAATTAAAGAAGAAATATAATGTGGCGACAAAAAGAGAGGCAGAAATATAATATAGGGTATCAAAAGTTATGCCTTTAACGACCCTACCTGCCTTTAATATATTGTCTGGATTCACAGACCATGGACGTGCTTCACATTTTTAAACTTTGTAACAGATATATATATACAAAAAGATATAGAGTGTTATAGTTTTATTGTGGCGTAATATATGTAATAACTTCAACTTCATACGTCACTCATCATGGCGTAATATTCTGTCGTAACTTCATACGTCACTGATTCTTTATTTTAAAAGAAAGTACAAATTGAAGGATTAGAGTGAAAATATATCTCATAATAAGTTTTAAAACTGTCCATAATACTAAGATATTGATTGATTGTTACTTTTACTGTAGAACGCGGACTGTTAATGTTATGAAATTGCAAAAAAAATAAGAGGAATTCGAGGTTTTTGTAAAGAAAAATGAATCGAAGCAAATATTCGTCTATAGTTTTTGTTATTAATATGTAAGTGACTTTCACAAATTCTTTAGATTCATATTTATGCCGTCCAAAATCCAGTTCCTATAGAAATAAAAACTGTATTTTATAATTTTTATAGGATACCGTATTGCGGGGGCTTATACCCACACCTACCCGTCAATCCTAGTTTGAAATATTCTTTGATACTGTTCATGAGGATCCCTTTAAATTGAGCTTCAGATTAACGAAAAAAACCCTTGATTAGTATAGCAAATTTAAATCACCATATAATAGCAGTTAATATGGTGGAAGTTTTTCATAAACATGTTTTGGGAACAGCGTACAACCATATAATAGCAGTTAATATGGTGGAAGTTTTTCATAAACATTTTATTAAAAAAAAATTGGCATACAACGTGTAATATCTAGATTAAAATCAATAAAGAAAAGGGAGGATATCATTAATTATTATTACTCCGTTTTTTAACTAAACTAATGAAAGAAGATCATGCCATAATGGTCTGTAGTTGAGAAATAAAAAAATACTCCCTCTGTTCAAAATTATTTGATGTTTAAGGTTTTTGCACATAGTTTAAGAATTCATTTAATTTTTATTTTTCTTATACTAAAAATATTATTTATAATTCATTTAAATATTATTTAACTAATAAGAAGACAATCTTCAGAATATAAAAGGTCAAAAACTATAAAAATTCATTAAATTTTGTATTGAAAAATGAGAACATCAAATAATTCTGAACAAAAAAAACCTTTTAAAACAACAAAAAGAATATAAGACTCCATAATTATTTGTTCATAACAATAACAACACTCACGGTAGAGTTGATAAATTAATATCGTTGTGTGCCCTCCTCCTTATGCTGTTTGCAGACCAAAATCCAACCTTAGTTTTCAAGTTGGTGGCTCCTGGCTCCCTCAAATCAACAGATACTTTCTATTGGATGTAAAAATTAACATGAAATATATGTATGTTATGTCACGTATGACGTACTATTAGAAATCATTAATTAATGACAAACCGCCACATGTATGAACAAACTTTAGAATAAAATTTAAGATATGTTTAGCAAATAAAAAAAATATATGAAGCGGCCTGAAGGAAATGAACTAATATTGATAAGATATTTTCTTGAATTTTAACTGATAAGTACGGCAATTAGTTCGAGAATAACTTCATATCATGTTTGATCATTGATGTGTCATCTTAATTACTCAATAACAATTTTGATTAACCAAAAAAGTACACATTACTGTCTTGGCAAAGAAGTTCAACTGCGCCGTAACCCTTAACCAGTTCATTTTTATTTTTTATCAACGCCTGCTCTTTTATTTATACCATTTTTAAACATCATTTCATCAAAATAAGAACTTCTCGGATGAATTACATGAAAGCAGGCGAAGAATCCAACAGGATTTTATGTTTATGTTTACAGGCCAGTGCCTACTGCCTATGTTTATAAGATTATATGGCATTCTAAAAAGGATTTAGCAATTAACTATAGTCAATAAGAAAATACGTTTTTCAACCAAATTTAAATGCTAGTCATACAATAGTATTTTTAACAAATGATTCGGTAAATTTATAAAAGAAAAAACATTATGGATTCATGTTAACAGCGGGAATACTTAATCATAACTTTTTGTTTCTCTAAGATATAAGCTTAAGATGCAAGTCTATTAGATCCATGCCAGTTCACATATTAATTGTTTTTAGTTCAGGTCATATATTAACTAGACATTTTATTTTTGACCTTGATTCATTAATTATTCATTATATAAAAATAAATAAAAACTACTCCCTCTGTTCAGAATTATTTGATGTTTAAGGATTTTGCACACAGTTTAAGGATTCATTTAATTTTTATTTTTCCTATACTAAAAATATTATTTATAATTCATTTAAATATCATTCAGCCAATAAGAAAACAATCTGGAGAATATAAAAGGTCAAAAACTATAAAAATTCATTAAATTTTGCATTGAAAAGTGAGAACATCAAATAATTTTGAACAAAAAAAACCTTCTAAAACATCAAATAATTCTGAACAGAGGGAGTAATATTTTGAATGTGGTTTTCCCGGATCCATGATGTACTAATGGTAGAATGTACTAATGGTAGAGATGGTCCTTAGAGCATGTTCATTAGTGAATTCCTATTTAGGGTTCACCAAAATAAAATAAGATTTTTTTTTTTGTTTTTTGTTTATTGAAGAACCTATGCTATATTTTGTGTTTCATTGGTGAACCCAAAAGAAGAGTTCATCAAAATATAAAAAAAAAATTTTTACACAATTGCATATGCATATATACACTCTCAGAAATGTGATATAGACATCAATTCAGGAAAGCCAACAAAGAAGACAACGGACAGTGATATTGTCCATACACCAACCTAGCTTCAAGATTCTGTCTCTCATCAATCGTGTGTTACTTCTTTCCAAAGGAACCCTTGTATACCATGGAAGACTTGATTTACTCTAAGCGTTCTTGCTCTCCAAGGGATTCATGGTTCCTCCTCAGCTGAATTCTCTTGAATACGCTATGGAGATACTCCAAGACCTCCATGATCCTTGCGAAAATGCCAACATTGTTCTCCCTGGCCATGCCCTCATGAGAGTCCAAAACAGAGCATTGTTCGATATAGAAGCTCGAGAATCACCGAAATAACAACTCTCTGTAAGATCCTCTCTAACACATCTCACTTACCTGATTCATATTCTAGTGCCTGTAGAATCATCTCAACCTTAGAGCCGCGATAAATACAAGATTCAGTGTAATCCATGTGTTATGAAAGTTGTAACAGCTCATAGGAAATTAAGCCATCGATGTTTGCAAACTCAAAACCAATAAACCTTATCAAAGTCTTTTACAAGATTTGCCTCTAAAGAAGCATTGTTCTCATACTCTAGCCAGAGTTCTGTGATCTCCTCAGCTGCACTTGTTGGCATTTGACTTAGGAATTAGTGTTTTGGAAACCAAAAATATAAGTAGATGACAAGAGCAGATCCGTATGTACCTCTTAGGCCTCCACCCAGAACTTCGCACATCTCCTTTAAAGCCGCAAACATAACCAAAAAATGCTACTCACCGCTTAAAACAGTGTATAAAGCTTATAAGAATCTCTTTAAAATAGCTCAGATGTGATCTAAAGCACATAACTTAAGCACAGAGCTCACTAGTGTCAAGAACAAAGCTTAACTCTTTCTCTTCAAGGATCCAATTAAGACATCGATTTCTCTAGAAATACTAAATTCTCCCAATTTTCACCGCATGCAAGTCATTAAATTAGCCTTCCAAAACAAAACGATCGAAGAAAATGCAATCTCTTACCAGAAGCAGAAGAATCGTCGTTACTCTTCTTGGAAGTAGCTTGAACAACCAAAGAACGATACCCAGACAGAAATTTTACGATTGAGAAACCTAATCTCCACAATCGGATTACAATTTCACCAGGAAATTTCGACGGATTCAGCAGTTTATTAAAAATGGAGAGAATAAATAATTTGGAAATAACATTTTCTTGGCAAAGAAGTCCAATTGCAACGCGTGCCCCTTTGCAAGTTCACTTATTTATTCTCGAAGTCTAATTAAACACAGTTATATATTCCGTTGATTAATGTACATTGTGATATAAATTTCGGTTCATCCGTTTTATTAATGTAGTCATGATTTAGATGGGAAGAAAACTTATAATTTATTGGATAACCATATTACTGTAATATTATCGTCTGATTAGTATATCTAGTAATCTACAGCTGATTCATGGTAATGTTAATAGGAATCTTCTAAAATTAATTAGTAGTATTTGGTTACATTATTTTATTCATCTTTGGAAAAGGCATCGTAATTCACAGCCGCTATCATTTAGCTAGGTTGTATTTAAGCTAGTAAATACTATAATTGTGTTTGTTCTGGAATCGAATCTCCGTCACGTTTCTTTCATTTTTCCATACGTTTCTAACAGCCAAGTATATACGGACGGTGTGGTCCGAAGAACACAGAAAATTTATAAGAATAGACAGAATGTACAAAAACACAAAGAAAGGACAAAGAAAAGACACAAATCTACAAAAACAGAAAACAAGAAGATATATGACTTTGGTTATCCTGACCAGGTTACTTGAAAAAGGATATTGTCTAGATCCATCGTGCAAAAGCGAATCTACATATAGATAGCTATGTCTCTACATAATTATCTCTCGCCAAGGTCACATCTCCTGATTCTCCTTGTTACTCGGTGGAACAAAACATTTTGGACGTTGAAAGCCAAAAACAAAAAGCAGAAACATTATGATTATAAGAAAATTATTTTAATATTTAAATTAAATGAATAATGTTATGAACAGATTTTTTTTGCTAAAATGTTTTAATCATTGTTCAAGGGTTTTAATAAAAGAAATAGCAAATTGAGTAAATTATTTTTATTTAAATTTATCGATTAATACAAGGATCAATTATTATTATTATTATTATTATTATTATTAAATATAATTCTAAAATATCACTTACTATTACATGATTAGTAAAAATATACAATAAGAGTGAAATGGATAAATACTATACAAAAATAAATTAACATTTCCTTTTTTGTAGTGAAAGATAGCTGATTTTTGAAAAAGAAATAATAATACTTATTACATCAGTTATTATTAAATGAAGAGAATATTATTTCTCTTTAGTTTATGTATATTCTGTCAGAATTTATTTATTGTTATTTAGACAAGAGTCGTGTGTCGAATGTTGTCTTCCCAGTTCCTTGTACTAACAGTAAGACTGGTCCTTAGTTCCCAAGCTGTCGCCTACGCATCTGCAAAGTAAATAAATAGTATATTAATTAATCAAATAACGGCGATACATAGAAGAAATTTCGTATAATATCTAATGTTATTTTTTTATTTAATTGATTTCTTAAGAGGTTTATTTATCCACGTATACTTGTGAAGAAATTTACATTAAATTTCGCTAATTAGTTTTATTATTCCATTCGGAACTTATATCAAAAGTAGAAGATATGTTAACTTAAATTTCTTCTTTACAGCAAATGGGTGGCTGACACGACATGTAGCAGCTTAGAGCAGAAGTTAACAGTAATCACTTCAAGGCATCCCCTCTCTATATAAAGCAACCCACATTTTGCATGGCTTCACAATTTCAAAAGTAACACACAAACACAAATACAAACATATAGACACATATATCTACACAATTAGGCTGATTAAAGATGAGTTCCAAAGGAGAAGGTTCTCATTCTACGGCGGAGCGGAAGGTGAAGAAAGAAGCAGCGAGTGTGATTCCAGTTAAGAGGAAGCTGGTGAAGACTATGGCCGTCGAAGCCATTATCTCTGCCTTTTCTCCCTTCGGTAGCAGCCGGAGCTCTGATCAGTCTACCGGCGACGGCAACGGCAACGGAGCGCGCGTGTACCCCACTCGTCCTTGATCGGTCCTTTTCATGTGGTTGAAGATATTTGCGCCGTCATCAGGATCTTCTGTGGGTTTGTATATATGTTTAAATGCTGGCGTGGTCCTCGTGTAAGCTTCTGGTGATTATGCTTCTCTTTGATTTTCTCTTAATAAGTTAAATGTTTCTATTGTTTAGGGATGACAAATGGCGATGATTATGAAATCTTCTTTTGTAAACAAACCAAGTTGTAATGATTTTGGACGGGTTTTGTTTGTGGTATTAGTTAATTATTACAATCGTACTCCATGCACTATTGATTATTGATCGGTTTTTAGTCAAACACGATCCTAAATTCAATATGGCACCATGCCATGTCTCAATAATCGACATTCGTAAAAGTTTAGGGGTATATTTCGATAATGTATTATTATATAGTTACGTCAAAAAATACAAAGAGCATAGAAAATCCACGGGCCTTTAGGCGCATGTCTTTTTCTACCAATGATGTGGCAGAAATGCAGCTTTGTTAGGGCATGCCTTCTCCTTGTCTGTGCTTTTATTTTTGGGATCAGAGTTCAAAGTTTCTTTAATTCTAAATCTAGAATTAAATTCGAGTAATTATGATAAATTAGGAGTAATTTATAAACAGAATTTAGAGATAGCAAAAACCAAAACTCCATTTACAAACTACTGTACGCTTCTTCAAGAGAGCTGCCCGAAATACCCAGCTAATCACTGTTAGCTAGGTTAGACTCATTTGATTACTTAATATCCGTTAACCATCGAAAGACAAAATTAAAATGAATAATTATTTGCTAATTTTTTTGTTAAACGGCCTACTTATTTGCTAATTCTATCATGAAAATTAATACATTTTCTATACTAATATAATATATGTCTCGATCTGATTTTTCATGATTTTTATTAATTCATTATTTAAGAAAAATTAAATAGTTGGTGCAAGCTCATTTTTTTTTCTTTCGCATTCGGTCTTTACATTAAAAAGTAAGTAATGTCTTAACCTTTATATAAAAAAAGTCACGTCTTTGACTCTACAGCTGTTTCACAATAATGTAAATACGGATCTTCCAAAAATATTAATGGCTTGTTTTCGAAAGGATCACATCCTCGGTTAGTTATAATTGTATTTTCTTTGTAATCTTCCCGCGTTCACACTCAGACGATCATACGCATCTTTGACAAGAAAATTTCTTTCGGTCTATCCCTTCCTATACATCTAGAAGTATATATTGTTAACATTTATACAAAGTATTAGTAATATGAAATAAATACCTATATATCCACAGACGAAAATAGGTTTTGGCTTAACTCGTCATGCTCCTAACAATCAATTTATATCGTTTGGACTGAGCAAAATAAGCCGGGAAGAAAACAATAGAGTAAATTTCACCAAAAAGCAAATTATTATGAAAAAGGGACAAAACTACACAAATTTAGCAAAGGCCTATGATAAAAAGCTGGTATTGTTTAGACATGATGGGAACAAAATATGGTATATTGTTTAGATTCACTGAACAATAGTGACTAATCTGCTGATAGGTATATATGTAACTATGTTCATACGCACTTATTTCACACCAATTTTCCACAAGTTCTTATCTCATCTATTGATCTATCCTTTTAGGCTTTACTTAGAGTATATGTGTATAATAATCATTTTGTCAAAGTCAACAGTCAACGTCAATTTCTTTTGAAATGTTGTTATAAAGCGAGTCACGAATTCGTGTCTTGAAAACTAAAATGGATTCGGTAGTAGAAAAGACTAAAGCATTGTGGATTGATATTATAAATGCCAAAAAGCTAGGCTTAAAAGACAAGCCTAGTCACATTAACTGGACATTTGTTTTCTAGTTTATTTATTGTGCAGTAAACAACAAACCTTTCTTGTTATTTTCAAAATATACAATCTACTAATTTTCAAATTAGATAAAAGTCGTGAACACAAAATATAAACTTCTCTATCAACTTACAAATATTGTCATCGACGTTCCGGAACCGATGGTAGAGTGAACCGCAGTTCCTAAGTCTATGGCTTTTCACTAATATCAATATGCGAAATACATTAATAATATTTATTTTAAATAATTATTAATGTTGGGGACGATTTTTTAGAGCATGTACATCAAGGGATTAAGAGGGGTTCATAGCACAGTTTTTGAGATAAAAAAAACTTAATTTTGAAGAAACTGTATCATTCTGACGAACTTGAAGAGACGATATCATTTCAAAATAAAGCATTTTGATTAGTCGAAAATTATAATTTTCGAATTAAATAAGAAAAAGAATTAAAATTAAAAAAAATATTATTATATTTTAATGAATCCCTTTTACTAAGCTGCATAAAAACAAGAACTGTCTGTTTTATTTAGAGTGCCAGAGGTAAATTATAAACGATGAGTCGCGGACACGTGTGGTGTGAAGTGTGAACACAGGGCAACTTTTTAGCAATTATATTTTTACATTAATTTTTATTTTAAGACGAGCGATCGACTTAGAGCAGAAGTCTCGATCAATAGAAGTACTCACTACTCACTTGTGGGGAAATTTTCCTCTATATAAACCCCCACATTTGAGATCTCTGCAGATTTACAAAGCAACATACAGAGATAAATACTTACACAAAAAAATAATAATTCATACATCTATTTCATAGGTCGAAGAAGATGAGCTCCGGGGAAGTGAAGCCGTTCAAGAAGAAAAAAGGGACTGTGATCCCAAAGAAGAGAGAGTTGGTTAAGATGAAAGCCCTCAAAGCCATTTTCTCTTTACTCCGTTGCTCCGTTAGTAAACCGAGTTCTGAGCCTTCCGGTGATAACGGCAAGCGCGTGTACCCCACTCGCCTCTGATCGGTCTTGCTTTCCATGGATTTGAAGATTTTTAGCTGCCCGTCATGATCTGTTATCGGTTCTTCTCTCCTTCTGTTTTTTATTTTATTTTCTTTTTATATTATATTTAAGTAGAAGGAAGCTTACGTAGGGTGAAGATTATCTGTTTTTATTTGAGTTTTTTTTTGTTTTTTTAGTCGAATGGGAGATAATTCATGAATTCAATATGTTTATTTTTATTTTTTGAACCTGATGGATCAATATGTTTGATCTCTTTTGTTTTGTAAAACCCACCATATGTGATGATCATGAGGCATTGTGACTAGTTATGGTACTAGTTACTTGGCTTTAAAACATACTCTGTTTTTATTGCGATTATATATTATTGTTATGATCATAATTCAGATGTTTGTAGTTTCGAATATGATGTGCAAACGTGCTGTCTCGAGATAAATAAATTTTGTAATAATGATGTAAGACGGAAAAAAGGAAAAGAGAAAGAAGTAAGTGGAGACCGGAATGGGATTTTCCGTACGGTCAAAATTCTTAATTTAATAGATATCAATCAAAGTAATTAAAGAAGATTTATCAAAAAGTAATTAAGAAACTGTATTCATTTGAGTATTTTAATTGATTTGGAAGCTATATATGATTTGAATATATATTTCACAGTTGTTTTTAGAAATATTTATAATATTTATTGATTTTAAAACTTAAGATGTATTCAAAATCACAATGTAAGGCGATATCATAAAGAATCATTAAATGAATTGAAATGTGATTTCAGATAATTGAATTGCGATTGCAAATTTTAGTTGTAGAAGTGGAATTAATTTCAGATAACTTAGCAAGAAGTGTTCGTGTCTATTCTCATAAATAATTTTATGTAAATTTAATATACTATTAGTTTAATTAATCGAACCGTTCTAAGTATTTAAGCTTGATGATAAAAAAAAAAGTAAAATTTTTATAGATTTGGAAAGTTTGAGAATGAAGTCTGTGTGATGTAGCTAAAATTAATGTAGCAAGTTTATCCTATAGCCGACAGGAAGACATTGGGCCCCACCCAAAGTAGCAAGGTTATCGTCACTAATGACGTGTCATAAGTTCAGTGTGCTGGTCATTGGCTCTGATTTTGATTGGACAGGAAAGTAGTATTCATGTATTCCTTCCAAAGATAGTTAAAATTTCCTTGTTCGATAAATAAATTCATTTTTTTTCAAAGTCAAGGGATATCTCTCTCACTTCTTCAAGCCCTATCAAATAAAAGTATTTTTTTCCCTTTGAATTTGAAAGATATAAAATAATTAACGGGATAAATAACGGGATAAACTCAAAATTTTTAAGTCCATATGCAGTTTAGTCTGTCTTCGACTGAATTGGATTTATCATTCATGACAGAATTAAGGTTTAAAGTTTAAACTACACGATCCCTTTATTCATATTATACCCGTTTTATAAAAATGATTGTTTAAGGCTTCAATTTTTGTTGTTGACATGTATTTAACTAACGAATCTAAAGGGTAAGGATAATTGATATTTTAATTGACTTTATTGATTAGTCTCTAGTATACGAGATCAACACGCGTGCATGAATTTGTCTTTCTAGGCTTATGGACTCACATTAATGGGTCTGGGCCTCCAAAACTAGTCCAATCTTTTTTGTCAGGCTGTATATTAATCGTTAACACTCAACAGCCTTCACACTTAAAAAACCGCCAAACAAAATTCAAAACTTCTCACTTTTTGGCATCTTCCACTTTCCCCTTCTCAATCATTTTCTTAATAACATCATGCTTAGCTAAAAAGTCCACACACAAAAGACACGTTATATATACAATATGCATTTCCATCTCTTGTTTAAACCAATTAATTTTACATTTTTCTCCTGCAGATTATTCAAAAAAATTTGAAATCAAACTCATTCCAAGAAATGGGTTGTTGCATCAGCAAGTTCTCTCCAAAGACAAAAGATTTCAAACAAGTAGAAGAACCTCAAGAGAAGTACTGTTATGTTCCAGAGAAGCTGTTCATGTCTCGCTGTCCAAGTCGAGTTTCTCCACTTCATCTTCCTGATAAGAACCGGATTAACCCTATCCCTGTCCCAGATAAGTTTATCCATATCCCAGATAAATTCTCTACTCCTCTTTCTCCTCCTGTAAAGTTGTCATCTTTCTCTCCCATCAAACCTTCAACCACAAGCAACTCTTCTCTCAGCTCATCATCAAGCTCGTCAATTTCAACCGCTTCTTCGATCTCCGTTTCAAAGGAGCGATCTTTCTCCAACGACTTCTTGCGTGCTTGTTACCAAGAGAATTCACATGTTGCTCGGATCAATTCGTTAAGAAAATCTTCTCTTTCTCTGAAAAACGCAAAACCGGGGTTTCCTAGCCGCCCTAATTCCCCGGTTAAGCCAAACCGGTATTCAACAACACCAAACAGAGCAAATGAAAATCCGGGAAGAGGAACAAATGGTTACAAGAGAACCCGAGAGCCATCGCCAAACAACCGTGCATTGACACGACAAAAGAGCTTTCGTCAAGACCAAGAAAGGGTTATTATGTCTTCATCATATTCTTTAACCAAGGGAAAGTTCTTGAAATCGCCATCTCCAAGCAGGAGATTTGAAGGCAATTTCTTGAAGTCGCCATCTCCAAGCAGGAGATTTGACGGCAATTTCTTGAAGTCGCCATCTCCAAGCAAGAGATATGGTATGACGATGGGAGATTCGATGGTAAGTTCAGTCTCTTCTAGTTTAAGGAAAGATAGCTTAGATCTGTCTCTTCCCAAGACATTTCCTAAAAACAACAGATCAGGGACTCAGATTCATCGTATAAGTTCGAAGATAAACGATACTACAATGAAAGAAGTAATCGAAAGTCACAAGGAACCAGTTGTTCCAATATCTGAAGAGCTCGGCAATCCTTTAATTGATTTGGATTGCTTCATCTTTCTTTAAGGATTAAGTTTTTATTGTTGAAGATGTGTTTGTGTGCACAGATAGGTTCTGTATTTGTTTGAAACAATTTCGTCTTTCTTCTCTGTTTATTTTTCTTGTTTTTTTAAAAACTTATTAAAGGTTTGTGATGATCAACTAGATCAAAACCTCATACATGTTTTTTTTGTTTTTGTTTTTGAAATCTACTTTGATTTGTAAGTTTGGATTGAATACAGCTAAAGGAGCTTATTATTTCCATGTTTTTAATCATGCTGTCAAGTTTCAAATCATTAAATTTGTAAAATAAAGACAAACAAAAAAAAACAACAAAAAACAGACCAACGATACGCTGCGTTTTTGGAACCTAACGCGAACAGTGTTGTTCATTTGAGAGAAAACGCAGCGTTTTGGATTCTTTAAAGTCTCTCTGGGTAGACAAACAAAAATCTATTTTGATGTCTTATCCAAATCCAACCAATGAGCAGGCAGATATAAATTTGCAAAAACTATAACACTATCCCACTCTATCTTCTATTAGTGTCTACCAATTTTTTGTTACATCACTTGCTTTTACGCGTTCTTGGAGTAGCCATGACACATTCACTCTCTCCTCTCTTACCGGCCACTCACGCCGGTGGCAGCCTCTCCTCTCCATCACCGCGGTCACGGCTGCAGACTCCTCCCATCATCCTTGAAATTCCAAAAATTAATCGCAGGTATTCTGATTTCTGTTTGTTTTTATCTCAAAACCAATTGACGTTTTAGTAGTTTTTTTTCCCTTTTTTTGGTAACATAAACTATGTTGTCTTTTTATATATCTCTCAAAACCAATTGACACTTTGACAGTGAACATAAAGAATCATTACCTTTATAATCTAGATTAGTTTTCTATATATTGATATATCTTCTAAGAAAATCATTAATCATGTATGGAAATATGGAATGTCTATGCAGGACAATTGTGGTGGGTTTAGGCGGTGCGCTGTGGAGTTGGAACGCTCTGAACGGTAAGGAAGAGGCAATGGCGGCGGCAAGACGGCCGCCTCCGCCACCACCAGCGGAGAAGAAAGACCCGAACGTGAGCGGAGTTCAGGCGAAGGTATTGGCGAGCAGGAAGCGTAAAGAGGAAATGAAGGCTGCCATGGCTAAACTTAGAGAGAAAGGCAAATCTATTGTTGAAGAAGAACCCTCCTCTTCTTCTTCTTCTTCTTCTTCTTCTTCTTCTTCTTCTGATCAATAGCATCCACGCAAAAAATATAAACCTTTTCATTCATCTGTCACTACCAAATTTATCCCTATAATGTTAATTCACTCTAGCTACTCTATGTATTTTCATTTATTCTTATGGTGATTCTATGGTATCAGATCCATAAGTAACTTAACTTTCATTATTTGTGATGTTTACCTTTTTTACTAAACTCATATCAAATTGTTACGAAACTAGAGAAAAGGTTAGGGGTGAACAAAATCAGTAGGTTCCCTGGGAAGTGTATCTAAATATTCTAATTTGTAATAGACTCACAACTTTCTCCAAATATTCAAGTCTTTTCTGGAATTTCATTTCACAATGAACCAATGCCATCCATTGATTCCACCTACATTTGTCAAATTTTAAGAGATTTAATTTGATTGTTTGGGAGAGGCTTGTTGCATAATATAGAATCAACAAGATTCCCAATTTTTTTTTAAAAAAAAAACTGTTCAATACGCATTTTCTAATACGCACCGTTAAAGTCAGAGCGTCAAACATTTTTTTTTTTTAGATTAGCGAGAGAGAAGAAGAGACTCTTTCTTTGGGAAAAAAAAAACGAAAGAATCTAAAAATTGTAGTTAGTAACACAGCGCAGGCACTAGGCAAATAATTTCATTTGTAACAGCTATTACTTAATTTTGATTCTCTTTCTCTCTCTCCCTCTCTAGTTTTCTCGGCAGTTTTCTCGGAAATCAAACAAGGAAGAAGAGAATCTGAAGCAACCATTCGCCCTGCTGCTGCTGCTGCAGCTACTTTCTCCGACTGATCGATCCTAGAGTATGAGGCTTCCTTCACCTAGTCCCGTTGAGCCTAGGCATCGATTATCTAGTCAAACGTAAGTCTCCGCTCTTTGTGATTCCGTTTTTCTTCTCCAGTTTCTCCGATATTCTCTCCGTATGGCTACACTAGAGTAGACTAGTTTGCTAAAGCGTCGGCACGTTGTCGATTTGGCGGAATCGGATCGCTATGTTGCTCCGTTGTTTTCCCAATGTCGATTTGAGCTCAACTATTGAAGGAATCTGTTAATAGCTTAGCTTCAACTTCGGAATGTGAATTATAGCGATCTGACTCTTGATTATCTCGTGGATTTAGAGATCCGTGTTCGCCTCACTGCTTTCCTGTTTTCATTTCGTGCTCCTTTTTTTCGCGTATTACTTCGTTTATGTTGATCTAGCTATCGGTTTAGCTGAATGTTTGTTCTAGCTGTGATTTTTCAGTTTCAAGTTATTCGTTTCTGAGTTTTGTGTAGCAGGTTGACTCTCATGACTTGAATTCTACTTTTAAATTTTCTTACTGGTTCCTATTATACACTTAGTCTCTCGTTTAGGGTAATAAGTAGACTTGTGGTGCAGACTTCATTGATGTTAGAACCTCTTTGCTGTCTTCCTACATGTTGATTGACATACGTGCTATGCGTTTTGATAGCGACGAGACAAACAGGAGGAGATCTCTGAGAAATCGAGATACTAAAGATCTCGAGAAGGGTTTACATGGCTCCTTTCAGTATAGAAACTGGAGTGGCAAGTTCTCTACTCTGAAACTTGTGTTGATTCTTATTGTGCTGGGAACTGTCTATACGCTTTACCGTTCACCAGCAGTACACATTGCAGACCATCCATCCAATAATAACTCTAGGTATATCAAGTTCCTTGTATTCTTATGTTGTGAGAGGATTCATTTTCATTTCCTGAGGGTTTGTCTTTCTGAAATAGTATAGAGGATTCTATCCTCATATTCTCTTCTCGTATTCTTATATGTCACTACACTACCTTTAGTTCGACACATCTGTTTCCTGTTGATTAATGAAGCGTTCCCAATTTCTAGTTTCGTAGACAGGACGAGAGAGTCAAATGCAGTTGATCCTCGCTACATATCTACAGCTGGCATAAACTGGGACCATATGTCAAACGTTGTCGAGAAGTTGACTGGAAAGAGTGAATATCAAGGGGTTGGCTTTATCAATCTTAGCGATGATGAGATTGATCAGTGGAAGGAGCTGATACCTGACTGTGACCATATTGCACTACACCTGGACCATATGGCAAATAACATAACTTGGGAATCTTTATACCCGGAATGGATTGATGAGGAAGAACAATTTGAAGTTCCCACTTGCCCTTCTCTTCCTTGGATTCAAGTTCCTGGCAAGCCTCGGATTGATCTTGTCGTCGCCAAGCTTCCATGCAACAAAGCAGGAAAGTGGTCAAGGGATGTTGCTAGATTACACTTGCAACTTGCAGCAGCTCGGGTCGCTGCATCTTCTAAAGGGCTTCACGATGTGCATGTACTTTTGATAACTGATTGCTTTCCCATTCCCAATCTTTTTATTGGAAAGGAGCTTGTCGCCCGTCAAGGAAATCTATGGCTGTACAAGCCCAACCTTCACCAGCTGAGGCAAAAGATACAGCTGCCTGTTGGTTCCTGTGAACTTACAGTTCCTCTTACAGCTAAAGGTCAGTATCTACTTTATATATCTTTACTATTTCTAAACTTTGTATTAGGTTGTATATCAGCATCTTGTATTCCTTGATCAATTGCATATCCGCTGTCTGAGCTAGTATGAGTCATATCTAACTTGGACCAGATGACTATTTGCATACATTGATTATCCCACACCAGTGTTTTTCTTTTCTTTCTGGAAGCATTACTGTGAAAATACTCATCTCTTAGCATCGCCAATGATACAAGAGTTATAACCTGGCATTATTTTCATGCAGATACTTTCTACTCAGCAAGTCCAAAGAGAGAAGCGTATGCTACCATATTGCACTCCGCTAACTTTTATGTCTGTGGAGCCATAACAGCAGCACAGAGCATTCGCATGGCTGGCTCTACACGAGACCTGGTGATACTTGTCGATGACTCGATAACTGAGTACCATAGAGGTGGCCTTGCTGCCGCTGGATGGAAGATCTATCCCATTCAAAGGATTAGGAATCCGAAAGCCGAAGCAGAAGCATATAACGAATGGAACTACAGCAAGTTTCGTCTTTGGCAATTGACTGAGTACGACAAAATCATCTTCATTGATGCTGATATGCTTATCCTTAGGAACATTGACTTCCTGTTTGAGATGCCTGAGATATCTGCTACCGGAAACAACGCTACGCTCTTCAACTCTGGTGTGATGGTAGTTGAGCCATCAAACTCCACATTCCAGCTACTTATGGACCACATCAATGAAATCGTGTCGTACAATGGAGGAGACCAAGGTTACCTTAACGAGGTATACACGTGGTGGCATCGGATCCCGAAACACATGAATTTTCTGAAGCATTTCTGGGAAGGTGACGAGCCTGAGATAAAGCAGATGAAGACACGCCTCTTTGGAACTGATCCTCCTATCCTATACGTTCTCCATTACCTCGGTAACAAACCTTGGCTATGCTTCAGAGACTATGACTGCAACTGGAATGTCGACATCCTGCAGGAGTTTGCAAGCGATGTAGCCCACAAAACCTGGTGGAAAGTGCACGACGCCATGCCTGAGAACTTGCAGAAATTCTGTCTACTGAGATCGAAACAGAAGGCGCAGCTGGAATGGGACAGGATGCAAGCTGAGAAAGGAAATTACACGGATGGACATTGGAAAATTAAGATCAAAGACAAACGACTGGAGACTTGCTCCGAAAAATTCTGCTACTGGGAAAGTATGCTTTGGCACTGGGGTGACAAGAACTGGACTGACAATTCTACTAACTCTTTATCCCCACCACCAGCACTTAAAACTCCTCTCTCTTTACTGTAAGTTCTGCTTCTTTTTTTTTACCGTATAGTTTACTTTTTTCTGGGGTATACAACAGCGAAAAATTCCTTTATAGATGTCGAGTTCCATACCTTTGATGAACCCAATTGATGAATTTGATGCTGTGCATTGAAATTCATGCTTTTGAAACATCAAAAGAATCCATTACCAATGATTTCCTTATTAATAAAGCCTTGTTGATCTCTGACAAGGTTATAGTCTAGTGATGAACTTGTGAAGCTCCTGGTCCTGTCAGAGAAATGATCAGGGGTCAGGCATGAAATAATTTTACCAAGAACCACGAGGAGAGAATATGTTTCGTTTCGGAGAGGTAACATAAAAAATTCTCACCTTGTTCATGTATCTCTCGACGACCTTGGGATGCCTGTCATGGGTTTGTTGTTCACAAAGAAAGTATCTTTTGAGCGTCTTCTTCTCTTGTTCAACAAGTTCATTGGATGGGTTTTGAAGGCGTCATCCTTGACAAGGACTGCTGCCACCGCCACACACCAACCCTGAAACAATGGTAGGCATAGACCAACTACTTGATATAGATCATAATATTACGTTGAGATACTTGGAATATATATAGCCTGGATGTTTCCTGTGTACGTCACCGTCTGTCATCTCTGCGATCATTTGTCCAAAGCCGAGTGATTGTTTCCCCTCCATTGGGGGAAAACAATGGTGGAATCACAGCAAACATCAGTGTGGCAGAGACTAGTGAAAGAGAATCTTGATACTAACTTCATGCTTCTGCATCTTCTATCCTATCACCAGTGGCTTCCCCTGCCTCTTGCAGCTGAAAATTACCCAAAACGGCACCGTCATGAGTCATGACTTAGACCTATATCTATATATATTTGGAAAGAGAAAGAGAACGAGGGAAAAAAAAAAAAACAGATAGAAAAAATTTAGGGTAGAGAGATGAGGCTACAAGACGTAGAGAAGACCGGAAAAGAGAGTCGGAAAAAAAAGAGAATCGAAAGCAACGTCCTTACCTCTGGATCTAATATTCGAGATACTTGAAAGGCTGCCTGCGAAATCTGCTGTGAAGTTTCGCTGCGTGTCGAAGCTCTGGTCTTCCATTACCACTCTTCCATCTTTCATTAGGTCGTTCGATGCTCGGTCCTCGGCAACAGGCCCTCGTCTTCTCATCGTGTCACGTACCGACAAATACAATCAGCGGTTCGTTTTCTCCATACCACAAAACCAGAATTCGGACAACCAGCCTGTGGTCGACAGTTATGAGATGACAATTCCAACAAATTATTGCTTGTCATGCACCGATTCCGTCCACGGCTTGATCTGCATCACAAGACCACGAAGGGTCGAAATTTGGAATCCCACCATGAGACGCGTCGCAACCTTACCTAGACCCAAAACAGGCGGGAAAGACACTCACGGATTTTTAGGATACGACCCGATCGATGGTACATACAAAGTCCTGTGTATGCCTACTTTTCATCTTAGACATAAAGGCAAATATCAGCCTCTGGTTTTTACATTAGGAGGAGCTCAAGATTCATGGAGAGTCATCCATGGTGTCACTGAACATTACCCTTTACAATGTGGAAAATGCATTAACGGGGTTGTGTACTATGTAGCCTCTCTTGAAATTGATGGCGCTGCTTGGTTCTTGGTGAGCTTCCATGTCAGATCTGAAAAGATGAGTATGATCCAAGTACCATGGAGTCATAATCGTGGTTTTCTCTCCCTTTACCAGGGAAAGTTAGCTCGTGTTACTTCAAATGCTGATGATATCACAATGTGGATCTTGGAAGATGCAGAGAAACACGAATGGTCGTGTAAACATTTCCATCTACCATTTCCTAGCAATGATCCAGTTTCAAATACCTTTTTAAGACTAAAAGGCGTCAATGATGCAGACGAGCTTATCTATGTACCACGTAAATTGGTAAATCCGTTTCATATTCTATATTATCACCCAGGTAGAAACAGCTTCAGAAGAGTCATTGTTGATGGAGTTGCGGATGAACAATTTATGCGCCGTAATGGACTTGATGACAAAACGTCTCTCATTACTATATCTGCTTATTCCAATCACATAGATACTCTCCTGTCTTTCTAAGACGTTACTATTTTTTTTTTTTTGTGTGGTTTTCCTCACAATAGCTATGCAGTTCCTTAATTTGAATATTTTGCATCCAATAAATCCATCTAACATTTTGTTTGGATTGCCTGCAAGAACACTACATTTTGTTTGGATTGCCTGCAAGAACACCAGTTCTCTTGATGCGTCAAATTTCTTAGAATACCTGTACAAAAGAAAAGAAACTTGCGTGTAACTTACAGAAACACATGGAAAAGAAACTTCTTTTCTTTATCATTGGGTATTTGGAATATGTAAACCGGGTGAGCTCCCAAGTCCTTCTTCAAAGCCCATGATGTTAAATTTAAAACCCAATGGGCCTTATCAATATTTATTTCTATTTTTCAAACGATGCCGTTTAGCTAACACCCGACGTTATGATCTCGAAGTCTTTGCAAGATCTAAATCAAAATTTCTCTTCCCAGGAAAAAAAATGATTTAAAAGAAGCAAACGAACAAACAAACAGTGAGAGAGTGCGAGAAAGAGAGAGAGAGAGAGATGGCTAGCTTAACTAGTAAGCCTAGAAACTTTGGTGCGTACAGTCACTACGCCACTCCCTGCACCCGCACGCACCAGATTGGAGCTTTGTTTCTCGTCGTCTCTACCTTCTTCGTCACCAGGCTTTTCGATCAATGGTTCTCGGAATCCAACTCCGTTACTCCGGCGATTGATCTCCGCCGTACTTCTTCTTCCGGAATCACGGATGATAACGGGATTCCACGGTGGCCGGAGCGAGGGTATGGGTCCCATCTTTCGCTGAAGATCTACGTATATGATGAGAACGAGATCGACGGCCTGAAAGAGCTTATGTACGGTAGGGATGGTAGTGTTAAGACCACCGCATGCTTGAAAGGCCAATGGGGATCTCAGGTGACTCATCTTCCTCGAATTCTCTCAGTTTCTGTTGTGGATTTAACCTTAATTCACATTGGATTGATGATTCAATGCTATTAGCTAATTTTTAATCTCGTGCACTAGCAATGGAAAATTTTCTTGAACTAAGTGATCCCTGGATTTGGAAATGTAGTAAGTGTGAATATTGTTAGCTACTTGATATGTTTTGTAGTTTCAGGATGTAATTCTTCTTTGTTTTTGCTTGTGAATAATAATGATGATAGGTTAAAATTCACAAGTTGCTTCTGGAGTCAAAATTTAGGACAAGTAAGAAAGATGAGGCGGATCTGTTCTTTGTGCCAGCTTATGTTAAATGTGTGAGAATGTTGGGAGGTCTTAATGACAAGGAGATCAATCAGACCTATGTCAAGGTGAACAAAATCGTCAAATTGTAGATGCTGATGATTTTTCATGTTTCGATCTACAAAGATAAGAATAATTCACATGTTCTCTGATTCACTAGGTCTTGAGTCAAATGCCGTATTTCCGAAGATCTGGTGGTCGTGATCACATATTTGTTTTTCCAAGGTATATTATTGTTGAATTTTACTTATGTGAAACTTGATCAATGAATAAAGTTGTTTCGATGAACTGTATGAACTTGATCAATGAATAAAATTGTTTCGATGAACTGTATGAACTTGATCAATGAATAAAGCTGTTTCGATGAACTGTATTGTTTTGTGATATCTTTGACATGAGGTTTCTTTGTCATGCTATTGTAGTGGTGCTGGAGCTCACTTGTTTAGATCCTGGTCAACATTTATCAACCGTTCTATTATCCTCACTCCCGAGGTACTTAGCTTGCTTTCTGTTGAGGAATTTCTTGTATTTTAGACGTATATCTGGTACTGAAAGTTCTCTGTTCCATTTCTTTCTCTTCTGATTTTCAGAATCAAAAGTCTATTTGCTTAACTTATAGAATCATGCATTGAAATCATTGTGCTAGAATCCTAGAGTTCGTTTAACAGAAAAAATGATTGCGGATGCAGGGTGACCGGACTGACAAGAAAGACACTACTGCCTTTAATACATGGAAAGATATAATCATACCAGGAAATGTCGATGATGCTATGACTAAAAATGGACAACCTGATGTTCAGCCTTTGCCCTTGTCAAAGAGGAAGTATTTAGCAAACTATTTGGGTCGTGCGCAAGGGAAGGCTGGTCGACTTAAATTGATTGACCTTTCAAAGCAATATCCAGATAAGGCTAGTCTCACATTATTTCTACAATGACTCCTCACATACATTTTTTTTTTTCATCTACGATCTGCTTAAGCTATAGCATGTTCTTCGATGTTTTCTTTTCCTTGCTTGCTTCTCATGAGTGGTTTTGTGAGCAGTTGGAATGTCCAGACTTGAAGTTCAGTGGAACCGAAAAGTTTGGGAGGACGACATATTTTGAACATCTGAGAAACGCGAAGTTCTGCCTCGCTCCTCGTGGGGAATCATCATGGACTCTTCGCTTTTATGAATCATTCTTTGTGGTCTGATCTCGTTACCCAGACTTTTGAATTCATTGTAATAACTTGCCTTATGTACTGTAATTCTGTGATTTTGCTTGTTCAGGAATGTGTTCCGGTTCTCTTATCTGACCACGCCGAGCTGCCTTTCCAAAATGTCATCGACTATGCCCAAGTATCCATCAAATGGCCATCAACTCGAATAGGAGCAGAGCTTCTTGATTACTTAGCTTCAATACCCGGTAACAAATAAGTTACTAAATAAGTTACTTAGAGAATGTCATTGGATTTGCTCAGATTCTCAGGTTTTGAAAAAATTCATGGCATGTCTTTCACAGATAGAGACATAGAAGGAATGATAGGGCGTGGTCGGAAAATTAGATGTTTGTTTGTGTACGGTCCAGATTCTGCACCATGCAATGCGGTTAAAGGGATTCTGTGGGAGCTTCAACGCAAAGTGAGACATTTCCACCAATCGACCGAGACGTTTTGGCTACACAATGGCAGTTTTGTGAATAGAGAACTGGTCCACTTCAGTAGCTGGAGACCTCCTATGTCTCTACCGTGAATGTTCTTGTTTTTACACGAATTCAGTGATAGATTATACAGGTTTTTTTGTTTTTGGTGAACTTAATTGTTTTGTACATACCAAAAGAATTTCTTTAGTGAATGTACAAGATCTTATTTTACTAAAATCCGATAGTAATACGACGAAACGACAAATTGATTGGTTTTACTTGGCCAAACAGGGAAGCTAGAAGAAGCTATAGAATTCATATAAAACATGTATATCTGAAACCGAAGGCCGTCATTTGGGCCACGTTGCTTGGTTCTTGCATGATTCATGGAAATGCTAAACTATTAGAAGAAGTTATTCGTTATCAGGAGCCAGCGAAACCAGCAGATTGTACTATGTAGACATACTCTGTTGGTAATTATTTACCTGCAGATTGATCTAGACGAATCAGAGGAAACTTTTTTTCTTTTTTCTTTTTGGCCGACATTCGATTTGGCTTAACAGAAGCAACCAGATAGATGAGAGAGATGGTTGTCTGTACAAGGACAAAAAGTTTTGTTACCGACAAGGAACCAATGATATAATCCCACGAAACAGAGTTCCACACGGAAATTACCATTCCATGTTTCTATGCATGGCTCTTTTATCGGAATGGGTCCAAATCTTTTTGCTTGGAGTGTATGTAATCGAAAAACAACCCTCCGTGTATACACAGGTCACCACAGCAACTAGAAACTTTCTATTTCAGGTAATATACAAAGCTTTTTATAGATATATCACATATGGTTATGTAACATCAGAGATCTGACATCATCCTAACCATTACTCTGATTTCGGGTTGAACTATTGTAATGTTTTGCAGCAGTCTTTTGCAAATGGTATACCAAAATTAAGTTTTAAGAAAAAATGTAAGAATTTTTCTGAATGATGTTGTGACTTTGTGATGATGATAAGGCTTGGATTTTTGGTGGTTACTATTAGTCCATCAATACAAAATGATCATAAGGAGGTAGAGGCCAAAAGTGTAGGTAAGAAGAGTGTAAAGACATTATTACTATTACATTCGAAGGTACAAAGTTTTCAAAGAAAAGCAATTATGGAAAGTCAGAAAGGTCGAGAAGAAAGCCCTACCCTTTAGGGCAAGCAAGTATTTAATTCTGAGAAGTTGTAATCAATCGTTCTACATAAAACTGTGTCCGCCATCGATGAATGTAAGTATAACCGATTCGATAGTATCAAGAAAACTCTTTGAACTTGGATAAAAACAAATATATCTGTTGAAAGGTTACATCAAGTATGAAGATTGAAAATAGAGAGATTGTGTATATTTATTGATCATCTCTTAGAGTCTATCTTTTAGGTAGTAGAAGTTTCGTTCGATCACTCGCGCTTTTAGCAAACTAATCTAAGCTATTATTTTTCTATTTATGAAAAAGAAAATACAAATAAACGATGTCTCAGTAAAGAAAAAAAAGAAAGAAAAAACACAACTACAAAACCAAATTGAAAAAAAAAAATCTATATCAAACTTTATAAAACGGACACAGTATTAGGACTAAAATAAGAGTTGTGCTATGCCATGTGGTGTATAATCGTATCCTGACGTCATCATATCACCTTTTTTTTTTAAAAAAAGTAGTATTTCTAGTCTCAGTCTTTTGCTTTCAATCATTTGACGTGGGACTCAAACCGAACCTCAAAAGGCGATTTTCTCTGTTTTGATGATAATTGTGTGTATGTAGTTATATAGTAACTAACATTACTTTAGAAAACAAACTATTAAACGTAACTAAATATTTTTTTATATTCTAAAACAGCATTACGTACGCTATGTTTTTTTAATAAAAACTACTAGATAATATGTGCTCCTTTCTGATTTACGAAAACGCAATCCATTTGGTAACCCACATCCAATATATTGTGGATAACGATATTAAACGTGTTCACTCAAAAATGAGGAGTGCATGGATAAAATAAAAGTATGCAGTTATGCACGTTGCTTGCAGACTGAATCATATATCACAGTCTACTGTGCTACATTTTTGTTTTCGTCTACTTATAATTACATCACCCTTTTTTTGATAAAATATAATTACGTCACTTAGTTCTTGGTATATATCAGAATCTCAACAGATTTTGACGTAGCCAGCGAAAAGCGATATAAGAAAGTGTAGTATTTTTTCGGGATATTTTTCTACTCATTTTTCGGCAATTTTTTTTTTTTTGGTTAAAGCTCTTGGGCGAATGTTATGATATATTTTTATTTTTGAAATTTAGCTCATGCAGATATGTACGTGGGCGTAGCTATATATTTTTCGTAAACTATGCGTATAAAAAAAAACATCTACTGAGAACAGCCAATTTTCAAGATTTTCTTCCCACACAAAATCATTATTAAAGGTTATCTTTTATAAACAACCTCAACTGTTGAATGTGGGTTCGCACGGATCAAACAAGTCAATTTATGTTGGAGAATTCGAAGATTTTCTGTTAAATAAAGCTTAGATCGGCAACGAAATAAGAACAAAGTTTAAGAGATGGTGAGGTGAGTTTGACGAGGTGGCAAGGTGAGGTGAGCTTGGCGAGGTGAGGTGAGCTTGACGAGGTGACGAGGTGAGGTGAGCTTGATGAGGTGACAAGGTGAGATGAGCTTGATGAGCTAACGAGGTGAAGTGAGCTTGACGAGGTGACGAGGTGAGGTGAGTTTGACGAGGTGATGAGGTGAGTAGCTTGACGAGGTGACGAGGTGATGGTGAATTTGGCGAGGTGATTGTGAATTTGGCGAGGTGAGTGTTCTCATCTTTTCACGAGCTATTTCTTTTCTCTTTTTCTGAGATCCCCTTTCTTGGTCTCCTCCTCTCTTCTATTTATAGTGAGCGAGTAGGTGACGTGATGACGGTGGGATGATTTTGTGGGCCTTGCTAATGGGCCAAAATTGTAATGCTGGTAGATTTTGATGGGCCTGTTGGGCTAAATAGGGGGTGTTAAACCCACCTCCAACAATTGCCTTCCCCCCAGTTCGTTGAAAGAGAGCTGCTCGAGTTCAGCGAACTGCAAGATATGCGATGAACTGCGAGGTCGACAAGCTGCGAGGTCGACGAGCTGCAAGGTCGACGAGCTGCGAAGTTGATGAGCTGCAAGATCGAGAAACTGCGAGGTTGACGAGCTGCAAAGTAGACGAGCTGCGAGGTAGACAAGCTGCGAGGTAGACGAGCTGCGAGGTTGACGAGCTCAAAGTCGAATAGACGAGGAGCCGCAAAGCTGCGTGGTCGATGAGCTGCGAGGTCGACGAGCTGCGAGGTCGACAAGCTGCGAAGTTGATGAGCTGCGAGGTCGTATAGACGAGGAGCCGCAAAGCTGTGAGGTCAACGAGCCATATAGCTGCAAGATTAACGAGTAATATAATGCGAGTTTGAACTTGGTTAATCGAACATATAGATACAGACTGAAATAAATGCGAAGTGGGAACTCGGCTTATTAGATCTGTAGGTGCGAGGTAAGACCTCGGCTTATCCTGTTTTGTTTACGGGTAAGGACTCGATTTAGTATGCTGTAGGTGCGAATATTAGCTCGGTCCACCTGTTACCTTCTTAGATCGTATCCGAGTAGCGAAGATGTGTTCGGCGTTTTTACTCGTGCGATCTAAGAAATTATGCGAGACTGGGCCCGGCTTACTTTCGTATAGTCATAAGGTTTTTGTTTCTTAAGATTTATAAGAAATTGCACTACTGGGAATGCGTTTTTTACGGATCGCGCATCTAGCTCGGATGTCGATGTCAATGATGTCGAGGTATTTCAGCGAGTTACGTTGTAACTACGAACTGGCGAGATGAGCTCGGCTTTAAGAAAAGAGAGTAAAAAATAAAACTAGCTCAACACTTATCTTGTTTATAAGTGAGTTCCTTTGTTTGATGTCGATAAGCTACGAGGTTAGCTCAACTATGCATGGTTTCCTTTGGCAAGGTCAGCTGGGTTCTTAACATTGCCGAGCTGCTTTGGGGTGTAGAAAATCTTCTTGCCCCCCTTCCTGGCGTGCCATTTGTTGAACGTGGGTTCGCACGGGTCAAACAAGTCAACTTATGTTGGAGAGTTTGAAGATTTTCTGTTAAATAAAGCTTAGATCGGCAACAAAATAAGAACACAGTTTAAGAGATGGTGAGGTGAGTTTGACGTGGTGGCGATGTGAGTTTGACGAGGTGGCAAGGTGAGGTGAGCTTGGCGAGGTGAGGTGAGCTTGACGAGGTGACGAGGTGAGGTGAGCTTGATGAGGTGACGAGGTGAGATGAGCTTGATGAGCTGACGAGGTGAAGTGAGCTTGACAAGGTGACGAGGTGAGGTGAGCTTGACGAGGTGATGAGGTGAGTAACTTGACGAGGTGACGAGGTGATGGTGAATTTGGTTAGGTGATTGTGAATTTGGCGAGGTGGGTGTTCTCATCTTTTCACGAGCTATTTCTTTTCTCTTTTTCTGAGATTCCCTTTCTTGGTCTCTCCTCTCTTCTATTTATAGTGAGCGAGTAGGTGACGTGATGACGGTGGGATGATTTTATGGGCCTTGCTAATGGGCCAAAATTGTAATGCTGGTGGATTTTGATGGGCCTGTTGGGCTAAATAGGGGGTGCTAAACCCACCTCCAACATCAACTGCCGACGTTGATCCATTAACCTTAGCCTCACAGTCAAACCGAATAAGATTTTAATTCTTAGTTTTACTCCGGTTAAGAATTAAGATACTCATGAATTTAACGATGGTTTGGGTCGAACAGAATAATCTATGTATTCGTGGTGAGTGACAGGAAGAGAAACTAGCAACATCATGTGGCTGTGGTTCAATGGTATAGACTAATTGAAATTTATTGAAAAGGTTTATACTAATCATTTCTAGTCTGTTTTCCGTTTAAAGGAGATTGTTGATTTTTACATACAATCTCTTTTTTTTTTTTTTGGAACGGCCATAATGTTATATAGTGAAAAGAAGAATATCAACCACCAGCCACTGCTGACTGCATTGCAGAGTATGCAGGCTAGTGTCACATACAAGCGTCACGCACAGGATTCTGAACACTCTTTATTTTACTCAGAGCTTTTTCGTAATGGTTAGAAAATGATGTAATTATGTAACTATTTTTGTTTTTTGTCAACATGATGTAACTATTTCAATTGATATTAATCTTAACATCAAAAACCAAATTTCTGTTTCTTTCACATAATCGTTTATGTCTAAAGGGAGAAGATAATCACACAAAAAAAAAAAATTGGTTCTTTTTTTTGGTTCAAAGAAAAAAAAAAGGTTCTTACACAAAGAATGTCGACCTAGAAGGTCGGGTTCACTTCCCTAGGACAAAAAAAGACACAGAAAAATCGTTTCCAAAAATAAATTTAGTAACAAAAAAAATTTGTATACACCAAATATTCAAAATTCTGGGAGAATATTACATATTAAAGTATTATGAAGCTAGTTGTTTTTATTTATTTATTAATTCTAATCTGTATTTAGTCTTTTCGAAAATTTTCTAGTACTACAAAATGTTATAGAAAAAACCCTGACTTTTGTAAGAAATTCCAATAACATATACATATACTCCTATTAACTAATTTACTGGGACCCTCTTTAATTAATTTGATGATTACTGGTGTTTCGCGGTGAAGCGGTTGGCACACGCCGATTCTTGATTCTTCCATATATACCTGAGGAAGACGCTTGCCGATACAAACACTCAGCTCATTTTCTCTCACTTTCTCTCACTTTCTCTCCGCTCACAAACAAGAAAGAAAAATCTTTTGTCGAGTTAGAGATCAAAGATGAACATCGCTCACACCATCTTCGGCGTTTTCGGTAAACCCACTTCCTCAATCTCTCTCTTTCTTTCTTTCTCCTTCATAAGAAATCACTGAGACTATCGTATTTGTCGTTTTCTGCTTTTGCAGGGAATGCGACTGCTCTGTTTCTGTTCTTGGCTCCTTCGTACGTATTTCTCCTCTCTATCTCTCCCTTTCCTCCTTTTTTCACCTCGTGAATCGATTTTGGATTCTCTTTAGTTATTGGTTTAACTTGTTGTTCTGTTCTGGAATTCTCTCCTTCATGATTTCCTCTAGATTGATGTTTTAACCAAGAAAAAAACTCAAGATTCTTCTTTCTTTTTCTTTGTTCGTAAATGAAATTAGGATAACATTCAAGAGAATCATCAAGAACAAATCGACTGAACAGTTCTCTGGTATCCCTTACCCTATGACTCTCCTCAACTGTCTTCTCTCCGCCTGGTAAAATCATTCTTAAATTTAACGTTTTTTTTTTTAACTTTTTCAAGTATTCATAGTGCTTTAATTCCTCTGTTTTCTGGGTTCCTCTGTTTTTTCTCTGTTCAGGTACGGACTCCCCTTTGTGTCAAAAGACAACACACTTGTGAGCACAATCAATGGCACAGGAGCAGTAATCGAGACAATCTATGTGTTGATCTTCCTTTTCTATGCACCAAAGAAGGAAAAAGCTAAGATCTTTGGGATCTTCACTGCCGTCTTGGCCGTATTCGCAACGGTGGCTCTTGTCTCTCTCTTTGCCCTCCATGGAAACGCCAGAAAACTCTTCTGTGGTATTGCAGCCACCGTTTTCTCCATCATCATGTACGCTTCTCCACTCTCAATCATGGTAAGCAAATCAAAAGACGGGTCTCTTTATTTTAATCTTTGCTCAATTTCTTTATTTTTAAATTTGTGGTGTTTTGATTTTGATAAACAGAGATTGGTGATAAAGACGAAGAGTGTAGAGTACATGCCATTCTTTTTGTCTCTCTTTGTGTTCCTCTGTGGAACTTCGTGGTTCGTCTATGGTCTTATCGGTCGTGACCCTTTCGTTGCAGTAAGTTAATTTCTCCCTTTTTTGGTCGTCTTTTTGGAAAAACAAAACTTTGACTCCTAAATTTTGACGTTTTTGGGTTGTTTGATTTGTGTGGTGAAGATCCCAAATGGGTTTGGATGTGCTTTAGGGACGTTGCAATTGATTCTCTACTTCATCTACTGTGGAAACAAAGGCGAGAAATCTGCGGTTGCTGAAAAGATTGAGAAGTCGGTGGAGATGAAAGATGAGGAGAAGAAGCAAAATGTGGTTAATGGGAAGCAAGACCAGCAAGTTTAAAGCTTCTGACGATTTGTTATGGGATTTCGTATTAACTCTTCTTAATTAGAGTTTTGCTTTTGTGTTTGTTTGGATGTAAAAACAACTATGCTGAAGAAAAGAAAAAATGTAAGGTTCCTAATTTTCGACTGATTAAGAGTGTTTGAAGAAGATGACGATGATGCTTTTGCGACTTTAATGGGCCTAAAGGGCTTAAATGGATAACTCCAACAAACAAGTGAGGTCCACCAAATTTTGTGCTACGAACGTACCAGTGAATTTGATATCTAAAGATTCAATTTATTTTCTACTTCATCTACTGTATCAACGATCCAGTGTATAAACATCACTACGCAGTTATAATATATACACGTTTAATATGAATTACTGAAAAATTAAAGTAATTACTAAAACATTAACATGTAAACACATTCACTCCCCACTTATAAACACCATCAACCGAATAGACGAATAGGTTTAAGAACCAAATCCAAAACTCTACATTTTTATATGAAGAAACGAAAACAAATATTATTTCATAAGTGTTAGATTAGTTTTAGAACCTGTCTGTGATCATCCCTGATCTCTGGTAATAATACACGGAGATGATTTAACCAGTTACAATAACCCAAGATTATAAATAAAACATAAACAGTGTTTTATAAAACATAACGACTATGTTACTACTATCATTTTTACCTCCAAGCTGAAGCAACGATCAAGCTTTTCTCCTCCCAGCAAAAATGGAGCTCACCCATTTCCTCTTTAAGCTTGTACCTATTGCAATATTGTTGCTTTATGAGGTTCTGTATATTGCTTGACACTCTCGAACTCATTGGTCTTGGACTGAATCCCGCCATCATCATCCTCGCTCTCCATTTCCCAGCGACCTCATATCTCTCTATACGTTCTTCTCCTTCGCAGGCAACAATGTTGACAATGTCTCTAGCAAGGCACTGTCTTTCTACATTCATCCTCTCTTGGCTTTCCCTCGGAAGTGTCATGTCTAGAGACTCGAAAACCGCTGAGTAGTACTCGTAAGACTCTATGAATCTTGAGAAGAACGGAGAAGTGTTCGTGTTCACATCTTGTTCAACGACTGTGACAAGCTTCGGGTTCAAGCTTTTCACCATGTGGAGTAGCTCGTCCCGCTGGTTTACTGTTGTGACGCTCTCGTCTGGCATGTGGTGAAGCTGGAACGCAAAGTTAACAATCAAGGTTTCTCCTGCTCTGCAACCGAGTGTCGATGGAGAGACAATGGAAGTCTTTGAAGGCACTGCTTTGAATTTGAAGGATACTCCATGATCCTCTGCAAATTGTTCCAGTCTTAAACCGATGATTCTCAATCCTCCAATCGAGCGTTGGACTGATTCAGGGTCATCAATTCCGGTTAACCTCAGGCGAGGACGTTTACCAGGTAGCTCAGCAACAGTTTGTATCAGTGTCATGTATTGGTTCCCTTGGTTGATATCGAAATCGACTATGTGAACTTCCTCTTCACCTCTGATTGCTTCGATGATCGCACCGTTAGCTGCTAAAAAACCAAACTTGAAACAAGGGCATACCTCAAAGAGGACTTGCATAGCTGCTAGCCTCTCGTCTGAAGGAGGCTCTTTGCATTTCAATGCTCTGTAGAGGAATTTCCCTGAAGCAGCCATTCTTGCAGCTAGACCTTCAACCATGTAAGCTGCGATTCTCTGAGAAGGATCTCCTTGGATTGAAACAACCTGCCTCAGCTCATTCACCATTGACAAAGCTTCTTCTGATTTGCCTTCGGATAGTGCACGTGCACAGGATATCAGGATTTGCTTTGGAGTAGTTTGTGAAACCACTTCTTTGCTGCTTACGTGAGAGTTTGAATCTGCAGATGATGATTCTTTGGGCGAGTCATGATGCTGTTTGCTCTCGTTATGGTAAGACCAGTCGTTGTCAATCTCCATCAGGTTGTCTATTCCAACCATCTTATCATCTTCATCACCGAGAAGCGCTCTTTCAAGCTCTTGAATCTTTGATCTCATTCGCTCATCATCAAACTCCCCCACCACATCCATGCTCGGAGTTTGAATCTCCCCTTGGTAACCTCCACACAGCCTCGTAGATGAAGTAGAGGTTGAATCAAACGGCAACTGAAATTCCATGGAACATCCAAGAACCGGTCTTGACTGGTAAGGATACGAGTCCAGAGAGCCAAACGAGCTAACGGAGGCACCCGAGCCGACAGGATGTTGCACAAGCTCATCGCTTGGCGAATAGAGAAAGTACTTCTCATAACTTTGGCTTGGGTAAGAATCATCAGTCAGGCAAGGGTTCTTGGACCTGTCTGGATCAAAGATTTCGACAGAAGTAACACCACTGTTGTAACCATTCTCATTCAGCGAGTAAAGTTTCGGATTCCTATACGCTGCGGCGGATGGCTCTGCCGATCTCACCAATGACATGACTCTCGCTTTGATGTGTTCTCTAACCACAGCTTGTTCCACCATTCAACTGAAACTAGAATGTCACACAGTAAAACATAAGGCCACTGTGATTCTAACAAAATTATGTTGAATCATGCAAAAAAAAAAAGAGATCTTTCCTAAGGATCAAGCTTTTGTTACTAATCAACCACAGATAAAAAAAAATATGGAGTTATGATCCAAATCTCACCAAATAGTGAATTGATTCTCCAAAGAAACTAATTAACACACACAATACAATCCAAATCCATTGAAAAATGAAAAGAATTATGGAATCCTCCACCCAGGCAATTCATGTAAAGATTCAACCTTTGATACCTAACAAATCTATGCAATCCCCAAGACCATAAACGATTAAACAATAAATCAATTCCATAGTCCCAACTTAGAGCAATCAGAACATTAGGATCTATGTTTTAATTGCATATTAGCTGGTTAAAACTGCTTGCAAAATAACATAGTCTAACAAGTTAGTGAGATTCTAAAGATATTTAAGCAAATCTAAGACAAAACAGCACGGATTTAAGGACCACGAAAGAAAAAATCGGGTTGTTGAAGTCAAATTACCAGGAGAGATTAAGAGGAAAAGGGTCTTGAATTCTGGAGATGCCCAAATGAGATTTGACAAGAAGAAATCTGATTTAAACGTCGGAAAAGCCAAAGGAAGAAAGAAAAGCGCAAGAGGTTTGACCTTTACGGTCTACTGTTTACACAGAAGAAGACAGAAATGATATAAACACCCTTGTTTCTGATTTTCTGGTTTTGTCTCTGTGTCTGTGGTCTTTGTTTAAAGATGTGTTTAAACTTTAAAGTGGCTTAGACTCGTGTGGTGTTAGGTTTTAGTTGGAAAAACAAGTTTCAGGATTTATAAGGAAACAAAAAAAAAGGGCAAAAATGAAGACTGATCTGATGGACGTTTTTGATTGTTTTCTGGACAGGACCCTAAGTGGAATTTTTGAGAAAATTTGCTCACCAGAATTTATAAATTTTCTTGAGATAATATTTTATGAATGAAAAAGTTAATTGAATTCCTCTAGTTCTACTGTTCCAGAAGGTAATTGAATAATGATTAAAAATAATGAAAATCTTAAATATCTCATTGGAAAAGAATAAAGTAATTAGCAGTTCCGTGTCCATTTTGGTTTTCATCAATTTTCTGTTGACCAAATGAATTTTCACTCGGTTTTTATTTTGGTAGTATTGGGATTTATGATATTTTTTACTTTAGTAATGAGAAGAAAAACAGTGACCGTTGGATATGCCTGGAAACTATGACGGAAGCAATCGTGGGGTGACGAGGGTGCGTACGACAGTTTCCACTAATTGACATTGGATTAAATATTCACGATTTCATGCTGTTTCTTAGTGCAGTTTAGCGTGTTGATTCTTTGTCAACTTCAGAATGTACTTTTGTTTTACCAGAAATTTACTGTTGTTTTATCTATCTCAGTTACTAGTATACAAAAATAAAAATATCACAAGTTTTTTAATAATTCAGAATAGCGCAAAACAGATTTAGGATCAAACTCTTAACTAAGAAGAAGTAAGAACCTTTCTTAATTGTTTCAGATTCCTTTGAACACCAAAAAAATAATGTTTCACTCCTTCTAAAACGTTTAAAATTCATTTTACAATCTAGTTGTTAGTTGTTACTGTTATCTTAAACAACTTCAAAATTACGCTACTTGAAAACCAAAACACAACAACTATTAATGTAGAGAACTTTCTCTTTTTAACTCGAAATATATTTGGTAGAAAACAAAAACTTTTCAACTAAAATGAAATATGTACTGTATTGATTCAAAGATAATAAGTTCAGTTTAATTAGTTTGATTACAATTCTTTTCAGCTGTAAATCCGCAACATACACTCAGGTTGAACATTGATTCTAACTGACGTATCTTTCTGATGTGTATATTTGTAGTTTTATTTATATTCTGGCAAAGGATAACTTACTAAGATGTTTTTTTTTGCTCAACATTTACTAAGATGTTTAAATTCTATTACTTACGAAGTCTTTTTTTGTGTTCTTTGATAGCTACTATTTGTAAATACAATTTTCCAATGTGTAGAGCAATACACGGAGTCTCTCGGTAAAATGACTGTTTAGCGCATAAGCACTGATCGTTAATCGGTGTGTAAAGAATCTAGTCACAATTTGTTAGAAAAAAAATTGGTTATTTTCTTTCAATCAGAAATCTTGTTTGTTTTCTTTTAACCAGGAAATTTTGTTTATTTTTAAATAAGGTGAAGATACTTACCAGTTGACGCTGAGTCTTTATCAACCTTATCCTCGCAATACCCATATAGGAAGACTTCTCTCTCTCAATCTTATCCACTACGTAACTTCTATTTCTATTTGATACAACAAAACCTTAATATTCAATTTATTTGAAGTACATATACATATGTTATCTCAGCACGCTATTATACACTCAACAATTATTAATACATCCCATTGACTAAAGGTGCTTTCTTATGCTATAATGTTACCTTTGGAATTCAAATGGAAGTTTCTTTAAGCAAATGATGTTACTAGCTAGTTGGCTGATGAATGGGTTTTCCTTTTGACGAAATGTTAAAAGTGTGGATGGAATAATCTTCTGGAGTTTATTTATGTACTGTTTTGCACCCGTAATTGAATTTTAACAACAGCCTGCTTTTGGAGTTCAAGATTATTAGAAAGCTTGTTATAAAACCAATTTAAGTTTTCTTTCACATGTAGTCGTATGTATTACAATTTTATTACTTGTATTGTACCCAATTCTCTAACCTCATAGGCTCACATACTTATGCATTTTATAATGCAAATCTTTGAAAATTTACGAGTCCAGCCGCCGATCTATGCTTAAGTGATACGGATGGTACACATGTAATAAGGTTTACTTCTTCCAAATTTATGTATTAAGAAAAGATTATCACTAAAAGAAGTGGGACGTTTGGTCCTAAACACGCATGCAAATCCGGAGGCGCTATGAAATTGTGTTTTTTGGTTCATATTTTTAGTCTCCGACAGCATGTCCCATGATTTCAAAAGCTCACATAATTTAGTCATCTTATTAATATGCATATAGTAGAATAATTAAAAAGATATAGAGTCATACAGACAAAATCTACATACATATTTTCTATGTCACTAGTTAATTGGATAAAGTAATAAACAAATTAAAATCCAGGTGTAGTCTACATAAACTTTCTTATATGTATCTTCTAGATTTGTTTCGTCTTCATCTTCAAATCTAATGAATGTATTATTTGACCTTAAAAGAAATGAATGGAAATAGCTAAGGATGTAGTCATGTAGCGCATCTATGCTATATACCCAGAAGGAGAACAAAAAAAAACAGAAGATAAAAGAGTGAAAGACTTTGATGACCTTGGATAATCATTAGAAATTTAGAATGAATAACAAACGCGTACTCGAATTTGAACAAAGTATAGTATGTAAAAAATTGAAAACATGAAAAAATTTCACTTGTAACAAAAATAGTAATGGGTTTTGGTTTCTGATTTTCCATAGTACACATCTCTTCAGGCCCATAATCGGCCATGGAATTACTTCTCACTCCTGTGGAACAGTGGAAGAGTTGGATTAATCTGTATTGTTAGATCAAATTAATATCTACCGCATTTTATGAAAATGCACATGTATAAGCGTAAAACATCTAAAATGGAAAACCCCTTACACATTTTCTCTGCCTTTTATGTGTTCGCTAGGAACTGGAGTCATTCCAAATAAATTGATTTTGCTTTTCTTGGCATCAAAACACCTATATTAATTGCGTTAAAAACTATCTTCACGAGAAAATTAGAACTGGCCTTGGTGAGAGTCGGACCGCTTTGATATCTAAACTTTAAGGAGTCAAATATGCATATAAATATATCATCTGGTCCTAGATAGTAGTAATGGTTATGGTCTGTGATACCAAAGAATAATTATTCAGATATCTACTAAACTCTAAATTTATATGACATGAATTATAGAGAAGTAGAATTGGTGAGAGCAAAACGCCACAACCAACCATAAATAACACTAATAAATGGTTCACAAAACAGAAGTAACGCTAAGAAACGTGCTTACCTAACCACAGGCGCTGCTAAACTACCTTTTCTATATTACTCTTTCTTTTCATAGCATCAACATTTTTCATAAGGTTTATATCATATGATGATATGAATGCACTTAAAATTAATTTATTAAAAATTGCGAATTTAGAGCCTAAGTATCAATCAGTAAGAGCTCATAAACATTGACACGTGGACGTTATTAGGTAAAAAAGGAAACTTCTTTCTTTTCTTATTTATCCGATTGATGATACTGATTTTCTTGTCTTCACTCTCTCCAACTGCCCGAGAAAACCTTCAAAGCTCCGAAAATGTCGATGTTAATGGCGGTCAAATCCACTTCACTCTGCAACTCAAACACTTCAGTTTCAGCCAGAATCAGACAAAACCCTCGCGCCGTCAGATCGGTTTATCCGACGGTGAGAATGCAGTCACGTGTTCACCGTCTGATCGAAGAGCAAGGCGCCGTGCTTATTCCCGGAGTCTACGACGCATTATCGGCGGCTATCGTGCAGCAGACCGGTTTCTCCGCCGCGCTTATCTCCGGTTACGCCCTCTCCGCCTCTATTTTGGGAAAACCCGATTTCGGTTTGATAACGTGCGCCTGTGCCTTTTTCACTTGTTTTTTTTTTGTTTCTTCTTTTGTTTAGTCGACAACTCCATTTTCTGTCGTTTTAATTGTTTTATTATGTCGTTTTAGACCGCCGGAGATGGCAGCAGCGGCGAGATCGGTTTGTGCTGCGGCTCCGAACATACCCATTATTGCGGATGCAGGCAAGTCCACAATCTAAATTCTCAATCAGTTCACTATATTACAGAGAAAGAATTGAGATTCTCTTGGTGACTTAAATGATTGTTGACACTTTGGTAGATGATGGAGTTTTAAATTATGGATCTTTGTTTGCGTAGAGATAACTGCAATTTTCATTGTTCTTTATTGTTTTCTGGATTGTTAAAAGTTTTGTTCTTGACAAATTGTTAAAAGTTTGAAGAATGTCAGAAGTTGTAACATGTTTCTCTGAAGTTTCTGTTCTGTTAAAGATTCATTCTTTTGACATTGTTCAGATACTGGTGGAGGAAATGCCCTCAATGTTCAAAGAACCGTAAAGGACTTAATCGCAGCAGGTGCTGCCGGTTGCTTCCTTGAGGTAAACTTCTTCAGACTATTCTTTGGTTTTAGTGATGGTTGAATCTCTGATGATTCTAGCTTAGTTATGTTTAATGTATTTTCTTGTGTGTTATATTTAATAGCCATTGTCTGACGTTACTTTCTTATGCTATATCTTAGTTGTGTTCATCTTGACTTGTGCTAATGTTATCTTTGGGTTTCTCGCAGGACCAGGCATGGCCAAAGAGGTGTGGTAAGAGACATCATCTTCTTGTTCCTTCTCCCAAAGCGATATGCTACTGTCAAATGTTTCAAATACTCATAAACTCTTTTGGCTTCTCTTGTATTTTTTGTAGGTCATATGCGTGGCAAAGAGGTATTGGTTTCATTTCCTCCTCCTTTGCTCGCAGAATCTATAAATTGAAAGTTATTGTTTAATAGTCGAAGACTGCAGATGATCGGTGTAGAGTTCGAAGTTATGACATATGGCTTCTAACATGGAAACAGGTCATACCTGCGGAGGAGCACGCTGCTAAAATAGCATCAGCGAGAGACGCTATTGGAGATTCTGACTTTTTCCTCATCGCTAGAACTGATGCGCGCGCTCTGTCTGCAAAAACAGGACTTTCAGACGCCATTGATCGTGCTAATCTCTACATGGAGGTTACTAGTAAATTGCGTTGTGTTAAAAACATTAAACTTATGAGAAGACAGAATGGTGGTTAATAAAGACAGATTGTAAAAAAGTGCAGGCAGGAGCTGATGCTTCCTTTGTTGAGGCACCTAGGGACGATGATGAGCTCAAGGAAATTGGAAAGCGCACGAAAGGGTACAGATTATGTAACATGCTTGAAGGTGGGCGCACGCCATTGCATACGCCAGATGAGCTTAAGGAAATGGGATTTCATTTGATCGCTCACCCGCTTACCTCGCTCTATGCATCAACTCGAGCTCTCGTCGATGTTCTCAAGATCCTCAAGGAAAAGGGAACCACCAAAGATCATTTGGAAAAGATGATTACTTTCGAGGAGTTTAACCGTTTAGTGAACTTGGATTCGTGGTATGAGCTTGAAACTAAGTACTCAAATCTCAGAAACGCTCTTGGGACAACAAAGTCATGAGATTCTGAAAAAAACTGTGTCCACAAAGGAATCTAGGGCAATGTGTCATCAATAATGTTATCTTCTTTTTCATTTGCTATGAAGCTGTTTGTATCATTTCAATAATCTTTTTTGCTTTGGTTAGCATATTCAGTAAGACTATTGCAAGACCTATGGAAATGTCTGACTTTTAAAAACTAAAAAAAAAAAGTTATAATTTAGCAGGAAAGCTTGTTCATGCTTCTCAGACAAACCAGAGATTCAATGTCTCTAGCAATGTTCTGAGCATCTCTTGAAATACCAGCCAAGCCTTGTCTCCCAAATCCAGCACTGTACAAACCGTTCTTCCCCTTCCAGTGATCCGAGAACTCGCTTTTCGGCATCCCACTCTCGCTGAACAAATTTCCATTATCTACCTGTGTCACATTCAGAGCCATTGAACACAAGAACAGAGGATTTTTTGGTTTTCTCTGTTTTTCGGAGAAGACATTTCTCTGAAAATGTAAATTACCTGAAGCCATTTTGAAATGCTGCTCTTATAACCAGTTGCAAAGACAATAGAGTCAACGATTCTGGTTCTTCCGTCGACGAAAACCACTCTCTTCCCTTCTATACGCTTAATCGACGGCACAACCTGAATCTTGCCGGACTTAATCTCGCCGACGCAGCCCACGTCGATAGTAGGTGACCTGCCGGTGATAATCTTGTTCATAAATGGGCCTATTTTAGGCCTTACAAGCCCATATCTCGAAAGACTCCCAAACCTCAGCTCTGCGAGTAAGACACACCAACGGTCAACTAATTTTACCGGGAAGAACTTGAGCAGCCACATTCCGATCCAAACGATCCCTCTCGTCACCACGTGCACCTACGTAGTCAATTAAAAAGTTTAATCATTCATAATTCGGCTTAATTGTTATACGAATTATGCACATTTTATTTTATTTTATTTTATTTTGGCTCATTTATTAATATTGAATATAATCTATGCTTACCGGGCTACGAACAACGATGGAGACTTTAGCGTTCCACGTAGACAGATCATAAGCAATCTCCATTCCGGAATTTCCACTTCCGACGACCAAAACATTTTTTCCGGCGAACTTCTCTCCGTTCTTGTACTCGCTTGAGTGCATATACTCTCCTTCAAAACTCTCCACAAGCCCAGGAATCTCCGGAATCACACCGTGGCCATTCTCTCCCGTCGCAGCAACCACAAACCTCGCCGAGTAAACTTCTCTCGAACCTGTCTCCGCGTTTTCCACCTCAACGGTCCATTGACCACCGTCGAAATAAGCCGATTTGACGCTCTGGTTGTACCTAGGGCTTATGTTGAAATGTGTGGCGTATCCGTCAAGGTAACTGATAAAACCTACTTTAGAGACGAAGGTAGGAGTGTTTGGAGGAAATGGCATGTGAGGGAGTTGACAGAATTGCTTTGCGAGGTGAAGATTGAGACGATCGTAAGACCTTCTTTTCCACAGAGAGGCACTGCAATCTTCTCTTTCCACCACAATATTTGGAATGTTCAACCGGTTAAGACAAGCTGATGTGGCTAAACCGGCTGGTCCTGCACCTATTATGAGAACAAGAACCTCGATTTCTTTCTCCATTGTTTTTCTCAGTGTTGTAGTGTAATGACGCGATTGCAAAGCTGTACTTACTCTGTAAAAACTGGGAGTGATGTGTGTATTTATTTATATACATCACTGAAAGTCTGAAAGGTTTGGAGAAATAAATGAATATGGAATTACATAATTTGTAAAATTTTAAGTTGTTTACTCTAAGTGGTGAATCATAGGATATGTTTGAATGTTACTATATTTTTTTTTTGCTATCTTCTGGTAAGTGTTTTTTTTTTGTGTGTGGGAAATAGTCTTAGAATGAGTCAACACACACGGTTGTCATTTTAGGATGTCCTTAATTACAAGTATTTATTTTTCCAAAATTACATTTCCTAACAGGAAAGTTTCGTTCTTACGTACGAGTACGGAAAATGAAGCACTATATATATAGGGGATATCATTATTGCGAGACATAGTATTGCTTACTGTCGGAAGTTGTCTGTGTCCATAACTAGAAAACTGAGATTGACTAACAAAGCTGTTAAGTGTTAAGCACTGTGCATTAATGAACCGTCCTAAGCGAAAAAAACTACTTTAGGTGAATCATCTTAGCTATTACTCGTTCATTTTGACTTAAATATTCTTAATTACATATTTTAGAACTCAAAATGACAAATGGCAGCCGCGTATATACCGCTGGCGATATTTTCAGCATATCGTCACTTCCCATATAACCGCGATATACACTTTACTTATATGGGCTGAACAAAGTTAAGCCCATGATAAGGTCCATTATTGAAAACCAGAGTGTTCTCTTCTCTTCCAAAGAAAACAAAATTCACCTTTCCTTGTTTATTTATCCTGCTATTTTGAAGCTCTAGTAAAATAACTTCTAACTATTGACAATTATTAATAAACAAACAAAAAGAAAAAAAAAATGGTTTCATTTAAATGTTCTCGTAGTTTGTAATTGGTTGTTGCCGTTGTGGCTGAAATTCATGTTTACAGATTGATCGACCAGTTGCAATGTTACATGTACATCACAACATTTATATAAGTTGTGTAGATCTAATTCAACTTTTACTAATTAAACAAAAAGGTTCTATGGTGTAGTGGTTAGCACTCTGGACTTTGAATCCAGCGACCTGGGTTCGACTCCCGGTAGGACCTTTCTTTTTTTAATTAACCCTCAGTATTTGCATCACTTCAACTCAACCAAAGTTTTGGAATCTGATGGCAATAAGTAGTAACACAGAGGTAAAGTTAATGTGCTGTTTATTCATGAACATAGCACCAACATATACAAAGATCTTTCAAGACAAAGAAAGAACAACTCAAGAGCTTTTGAAGTTTTCACATATACATACATCTTAGAAAGCTACTAGTAATAATACCCGATCGTCCGTCATCTAGTCTCATCAACATGATGCTTCTATATACTACAACACATCAATTCCTCTGTTTCAATGAGCCGGATGAGGAAACACACTGTGTGCGCGATGAGCCTGAAGAATACAAGCACAGTGCACAGATGTCAAGTTAAGACAACCGCTCATGACAAGCGAATGCCTTCCCGAACATGTGTGAAGAGCGGGAAAGGTGTCGCAAACCGCTTGAACCGCTGAAGGTGTAAGGGCAGTGCATTGGCTGATGTTGAGACTTCTAAGCCCTTCTTCGTCGTATTTCTCCTTCTTAACCGATTTCCATTGTCCCGGTTTGTTCTTTACTCCGCTTTGTGCTAGTGAGTACATCGCTCTGTCTGTTATGTTTCTGCAGTAATATAGCCCCAGTGATCTCAAGTGCACACACCAATCTGCTAAAGCCACTACGCTCTCATCTGCAAACATTACATGAAGAAAGCGAGTTGGATAAAGCGCTTTAAAGGGTCTCAAAGATCAATTATTACTTTATCAATTTATCAGAGGAAATTTTGCTTCCGAGTAAAGCTTATCTAATGTGAATTACCTGTGATGAGAACACATCCACACAAGTCCAGGGTCCTGAGATCTGGGCAGCCATAAGCTAAACTCATAACCCCATCATCACTGATATTCTCACACCATCCCAAGTTAAGTGACTGCAACTGGTTACAGTTATTCCCAATAGCCTGCACACACCAGGAAGAAATCAATCAGCCACTCTGTGACCAAATGAGCAAAAATCACACTGACAAACAATATCAAACGGCAAAATTTACCTCCAAGGCATGGTCAGATACAGCTTGGACACATCCACAAAGATTCAGAACTTTGAGCTTTCTACAGAATCTGATCAAATAAGCAATAGCAGTGTCGCTGAATGAAGTGCATCCGCTAAGGTTGAGTTTAGTGAGGTTAGGGCAGCCATGAGCAAGTGCGTAAAGGGAACGATCAGTAAGTTTCAAGCTTTTGCTGAGATCAAGCTCTTGTAGCTCATGGCAGTGATTTGCTATTGCCTCCACTGCATTGTCCTCTAGTTGCGGTTTGTCCTGCCGTAGTATTAAAGCCTGCAGCTTTACAAACTTCGGAGCAAGAGAAAGAACCAAACTGTTCATGTTGTTTTTGCACCTGGTAAACAAAGAAGAAGCAAAATCAAAGAGTTAGAGAAAGATCAATCTTAACACACAGCAAGTGACAAGAACAAAGCTTCCAAAGGTTCTAACACTCAAGAGTCCAAAATATTTACTCCTCTGGCTGGATTAACGACCTTGGTTTTACCTCCTAATGAAAACTGATCCATCATCTTAAAGCTTTTCATCAAAAAGTTAAAAATCTTTTTCCCACTTTTTTCCATCTAACCAAACTATCATCAACAGATTGATTAAATGCTCCTTAAAACAAAAGCAACAAAAAAAGTTCTGATCTTTATACAAACTAGATAATACATAACCCAAAACCACAAGATGATAATCAAGAACTCTGGAGACTCAAGTCCCACTTCAAATCCCAAACACCAACATAGAGAAAAGATGTTTGTGCAAAAAAAAAGGGTTTAGAGAGAGAAAGGATTACCAAGAGAGACGTAGACGAGTGAGGCCAAGAGATATGGCATCTCTCCAACCACTGCAAACACCAGAAGCAACAATGACATTCCGATCATCGACAAGGGAAAGGATCCTCATCAGAAGCTCCACAGGGATGTCTTTCCACTCTTTGATCGAGATTCCTTCCATCTTCATCTTCTGAAAGCACTGGTCCAGTTCCATGGATGCTCCTCCTACCATCACCATGTTTAGATTAATGACTAATGAAGCGGTTTCTTGGTCCTATCACCACCAATGATGAGAGAGAATTAGAGATAGGGAGGAGGAGAGAGAGTAAGATAGCTGCCGTTTACCGATTCAAGACCTCGAAAGACGATATAGGATAGAAGAAAGGGATTTGAAAGTAAACACTGTGTTTGAGTAAAGGAAAAAGACAAACTTTTGTTCTAAAAGACATAGAAGAAAATTTTAGAACCTTTGAAATCAATTTGCAGGAGGCTAAAATATAAATTCTTATTTAAAGTATTACAAACAAATAATAGTTCATAATTTGCTCTGGATACCTTTTAAATTGAAGTTGGAAAAAAAAACTTTGGCCTTTAGACGATACCTTTGATTTAGTTTCTTCGTCTCTCTTTATGGGTTTTTTTTGTTTCCTTCGAAATAATTAAAATTTTTGCTCTTTTGAAGACACAAACGAAGCTATGGTCCAGAAGATAACAAGAAAAGAAACAAAAAAGGGAATAGGAAAAAAAAAAGTTTAGTTAAACGTGTGGGAAATGACTTTGTGACGCGTAAGCTGCCATGTGTATTAGGGGGATACGTCCAATTGCAGTGTTATAATTTCTTTGTTTTATGGGCCATTGAAAATGCTTTTGAATAAAATCCAACTCAAAGAATCATTGAAAATGCTTTGAATAAAATTGTACAAAGAAATTCAATTTTCTTTGACAAGAATATTTATGTAAAATATTGAAAAAAAATGAATTACTAATCATCTTTGAGTAATAAAGGAATTATTCTTTGAGTAATAAAATAGAAGAAGAGAAGAGGAGTGCTTTAACCCAAGGCTGTGCCTATGAAGTAGAAAAAGAAACACTCGCCTACGGGTTTATTTGTTTTTTAAAAAATGAAAGGCCCAATTTTCTAATTAAATTCATTAATTATTAGTAGTAGGAAATTTTTCTTTGTATAAAATTAATGAATATGTTAAAAAATATATATCTAATTAAAAAATATTTTACGCAACTCAAAAATATTAACTAATTATAAAATATTAAATCTATACATATATAGTAATTTAAACAACTAGAAAATTTTAAATTTTCTTGTTTTATTTTTCGTTGAAATCTTACGCAACTCAAATTTTCTTTTCACAACAACCACATAATTAATTAATATCTTCTAATTGCTAAATATTTTTTCTACAATTCTGTTTTATATAATTTAAATTTAGTTTAATTTATGATTTAGACTAAATTACAAAGGATAATTCAAATAATTAGTTAATTTATCAACTTCAAAAAATATGATTTAGATTTTAGATTGAAATAAGTTTAAAATTGTAGATATGTATTGTAGTTTTGTGAATTTAAAAATAATAATATTATATTATTTATATGTATTATTAGTTTTATATGAATTTGAAATATTAATGATTATTATTTGCTTTCTATGAATTAAATTAATTTTATATAAATTGGGATGGTAATATATTAATAGAGAATTTTTTTAAAAGATCGGGGCTCTCAATCTCTGGCCACGGGTCTGCTTTAACCCAAAAAAAAAGATGAGGAACGAATGTGTGTCAAAAAATTCGAAAAGTTGACAACTTTTGTTATTTGATTAAAATCGAAGCCGCAACGAAGGAGATCCACTCATTTCTCACATCATCTAATGGGCTACAAGCATATGGTATTTAATTACATTTTTAACACGTATGTAATGTTACTTTACAAAATATTTACTAATAACTACCATAATGTGGCAAACAAATTTTAACCACATCATATTTTATAATATGTATTGTTGATACATTTTTTTTTTAATTTTTCAACTGTATATAGAAATACATACTGATTTTTTTAGGTATAATAGCTATGTTTTTATCTGGAAGAATCCTCATTTTTGAAAATAAAATTGCGATGTCAAATTTTATATGCATTCAGAATAACTTTTCTTTAAAGAATATAGACACCATGTTTATATATCTAAACAAAAATTATCACTTATTCATCATTTAATCATATTAGCTTGACTACGAAGATGTCATTTGGATAGGTGGGCACGTTTTATTTTTCCAACGAAGCTCTCACCAATACTCAAGCGCCCTCAAATGCATAAACATCAACCAGCTAGCTTTATATAATAGAGTAGTTGCTACATTTTTCTAATTAAGCCCACACAATTTTATAGTCGCTCCCCATTAGCTAGATTATATCCTAAATCCTAACTGATAGTCGATTATATATGTTAAATAAATCTACATTAAAAGTCAGAAGAAATCTAACGTATACAAAAGACATACAGCAAGACTAATTGAATTGTGTTGGAAGTTTATAAACTTTCGCATGGCCTAAAAACTCGTCTTTACTGGTGGACACTAATAAATATTCAAACACGAATTATTTATCAGAATTATAGACTGTAGTAAATATTCGCACGCAAACACATTTATATCATGTTTAGTAAGATATTTCGACGTCAAAATATAAAATGCTCAATATAGTTAATTATTTTTCATTTGAATTATGACGCTAATTTTATTGCTGCGATATGTAAATGTATAATGCTTATACAAAGTCAACTAAAGCATCTTCTTCTAATATTTTTGCATACACACGTCGTTGTACCAAATTGATATATCGAAAAAGGAAGAATTCTGGGATGGGATAAAACAGTTTGATAATAATAATATAGCTACTAGAAAGTTAGTCAACTAGCTATATTATTCTGCCCATAATCAGTCTTGATATATTAAATTTCAACAGAGTGGGTTATGACTCGACAATTCTGAAATTTGGATAGAGCCAAAGTCAAATATAAACATCCTATGAAGGTTTGAGTCACACAACAAAGGAAACTTTTCTTGAGGCCTATTTTATTATATCATGCATAAACATGTTCAAATTTTGCATTACGGTCATACTAACCAACTATTAAACGACGAATATAACATTCTCAAGGCCGTTTCACGATGCTCGTAATGCTGGTTTCAATCGTCCTCGAGTACTATTCGATTCGTGGGCAATATAAATAATCAATGTACATGATACACATTACACCGTAAATGAGAACGAGATCTTCAACATCACACTTCCTCTAGATTTAGACATGAAAACCAGGAGGATAATCTTGAGGTCGTTTCTCTACTAATCCCTTTAAACCAAGTTCTTGCTCCTCTAGATTCTTTGGTTTAACATCATACACATCGTTAAACAACTCTATCAGTGGTTGTTTCTCCCACTTCTCCGCCGCCTGAATCGCTTGTAGAAGCTACAAACACAGAAAAACCAAACTTAAACGGTTAAATAACATCAACCTTAACATCAAGATCGTCGTCACGGTGGTTTTGGAATTTTTACCTGTTTTCTTGTGTTAGATCTTAGCTTAGATTCATCTTCCTCACTCCACCATCCATTATCCTCAACCCATTTCCTGAATCTGTTCACAGGATTTCTCGACATTTTCCAGTACTGGATTTCATCGGCCGCCCTGTATTTAGTCGAATCATCTGATGTAGAATGATGTCCTACTCTATATGTCATCGCCTGCAAAAAAAACCTCATTTCACTAAAGACACTAAAGGAGAAAAAAGTTGTAAACTTTGTGACAGTTCTCTAATATGGTTTTTAACCTCGATGAGAACTGGTCTTTGTTCTGTTACAGCCATTTCTCTTGCTGAGCGTACCGCGCTATAAACTGCGAGAGCATCGTTACCGTCCACACGGATGCTTCGAATACCGTAAGCTTGACCTTTCACAACAATTCCATCACCTGTAAAACAACCACTTAAGCTCGCTTAAGAAAAAACAGAGGATTTGTTTGGTCTTTGTGTAGTAGAAAAAAAAACAGAGGAAGTTAGTTAGTTTCATACTTCTGAATTGTTCTGAGATATGAGTACTTATGGCCCAACCGTTGTTTCGACAGATAAATACTACCGGAGCTTCCATCACCGCCGCGAAATTCAGTCCGGCGTGAAAATCTCCCTATCCCCCAAAAATCAATACCAAAAGTTGAAACTTTTCATTTCTTGAAATGTGAATTCTTCATGGAAGAATGAAAATTTAACGTTTTTTTGTTATAATTGAAATCACAACCTCGCTTGTGCCACCATCTCCAATGAATGTTACTGCACAAGCGTTCTTCTTCTCCATTTTGAGAGAATAGCCAACTCCAGCAGCTTGAGGAAGCTGCGTGCTGAATCAAAATTACAAGAAACAGATTCAGCAAAAACAAGAAAAAAAAACCCTCAAATAAAAGAACAATCAAGGATTGGTTCTTACGCGATTGGAGAGGAGACGGTGAAGTAGTTGTGTCTATTGGAGCCGTAATGGATCGGCATTTGTCTGCCTTTGCCATAATCAGCTTTGTTCCCAAAGCACTGGTTCGCAAACTCCTCCAACGTGAAGCCACGCCATAGAAGAACTCCAGGCTCTCGGTACTGTTAACCAAAAACCAAATTTCCCGGTTAAATCAAACCGGAATCAAAAGTGATAAGTAGAGGAGACGCGAGGAGCTTACCTGAGGCAAAACGACGTCGTCAGAGCTGAGAGCGGCGGCGGAAGCGATGTTAATGGCTTCTTCTCCGACGGAAGTTAGATAGAAAGAGATTCTTCCTTGACGTTGAGCTTCGTAGAAGATGTGGTCCATCACCTGAAGCGTCGCCATTTGCTCGTACATTCTCACGGCGAGTTTCTCGCTCACCTTTTCGGTTTCAGTCAGGAAAAAAACTGTTGGTCAACACTAAACCAGATCATACCAATTCTGTTTTTAAAATTTGCTGTACCGGAATGAAATCGCTATCGGGGATGATTCTTCCGTCTTCGTCAAGAACCCGATAACACGGGATTCTCCGAGAAGAAGATTCCGGTATGAATTTCATCTCGGATGTGTAACCGACTTTGCCTCCCGGAAAATCCAATTCCTAGAAATTTCAAATACGGTTTAGGGGTAGCATTCGGTAATATGAGAGACTATTAGGACATATGTAAGAAAGTTTTATAAAAACAGGGGTCATAGTGAAAATAGTGTCCGCACGGATTTTGGAAGATACAGACCGCTGTGACTTATGAATGAGACGTACACGTACTCAAATCAAATAACTCAAAATGGGACCTGCACAGCACTTGAACTATTCGTACGTGTGACTTGTGGTCTCTACTTTTTCTCATGCGATGGTCAAATCAAACCAATTTTTTATACAATTTTTTTTTTTTTTTGGAATACAAGTATGAAAAACAGTTTCAACTAGATTTGGTTTGAATATAGCTTTTGTATCTTATGATTTATGAACCAAGAAATCGTCAAACTTCGAAATGACCAATACGAAATCGACTTCAACCGGATTGAACACCATTAAACCGAAAAACTAGTTCTACTAAACAAGAAAAAACTGAACATATCTCCTTCCTTCGAAGCACTAATTAAATCCTTTAACATATTGATTTGTACAATTGAAATAAGCGTTTTGTGAACTAATCCAAATGTTTTAATTCAGTATTGTTTTAATTCAGTATTATGTATAACCACGTGAAAACCAGTATAAATATTTTTCACCAAATAAAATAATACCAGCTGGGCATCTTCCTCATCACTGAGTTGAACCAAATCAGGCTGTTTCTCCACTGCCGTAGACTCGTGACGGAGGCTCTTGACGGGACCCAAAAACACCGTAGAGGATAACTGAGAATTTTTAAAAACGGGACGATGAGAGTAATCGCGTTTGAAGAGAATTTTCGACAAACCAAGATTCTGTCTCAGGCTAGAAACGATGTTTCTGGATCTAGCAAACCAGATCGCCATGTATGCAAAGACAAATAAAAAAAGGACAAGGAGAAGAAAATGGGTGAAGAGTATGAAGAAGAAGAAGAAAGAAGTTGTCTTTAACGATGTTTCAGGGCAAAGGATTTACATGGACGACAAGTGTGTGTGCTTCCTTGTCGGACTTGACATGTCATTCGTATCTATCTATCTCCAACTCTTTTCCTTTTTTTAATCACTAAAATATTAAATATATGTCTAAAAATTATTATCTTCCTCGCTTTTTGGGATTTTTAGTTTCACTAATTATAGTGAACAAGTACTATCGACTATTAGAAGAAAATAATATTTGATTATTGAAAGAAGTTGCATTGCATATATAGCAAATCATTTAAAGATTTCTCAACCACCAAACCAAACTGTACTGTGCTTTTTCAATAGCGTTTGATCTTTATCCAACTATCGCAAATTTGTAAAGTCACCTACTTGCGTGTCATTTGTGTCTTTCTTTGAATTTGTCATGACGTCCGTGAACTATTTTTTTTTTACTTTCTCAAAACAAAGAAAAATTATATTGACATCACGTGAAAATATTTCCATTTTAGATTAGTTGAATTGTTACATACAATCACCCGAAACGATTGAAGAGTTGATATTTTCTCAAATTAAGATTCATTGATGAGTTACATCAAACGTAACTGATAAAGCTTACTTGGACCTAACTTAGATATATGGTTTGGCCTAGATTAGCCCAATCAGGTAGTAGGGACCTAACTTAATTCTAATACCAAACCACCTAACATATCCAGATAACTAAAGAATCATCAACATTATAAACTTGGATAACCAACTATGTCCAGCCATTGCCATTACATCGTTCCCTTCATTAGTACAATACTAATTAATAAAGTCGGTCGAAACATAGTTTCCAACAAAGAACATGATGTCTCTGGTCTCTAACAGGTCCAAGAATTAAAAAGCATGACATTCTAATCATATTCTCTGTTAGTCCTTTGGACGTGCCTCCCATATAAAAATATTTGTTCACAGATTTTTTTGGGGGTCTAATATTAGATGTAACGAATCATTCATAACAAGCGTCGATCTACATCGATGTTACAGTAAACAGCTGAGTTAGGACAAGAAGCATAGATCTAAAACCGTAACTATACCATGAGGACAGGACAGAACAGCGGAGTAGGAGACAAGTTACTATTGATAGGTAGATAGTAAAACGAAACACACCATCTCATATATAAATCAGAAGAATCGATGGAAAAAGTCTGATATAGCATAGAAAACTACATAGTAAACACGAAATCATCAGACATAAATGAATTATTCGTAATAGGCGTAGATCTACATCAACACATATCGATATCGCAAAACAGCTGACAAGAAACGGAACCGGAGAATATCTAGAAAACAAAATTTGTAATTTAAGTGTAACAGTTGAGCTAGCCCTTTATAACATGTCTCCCATATTGAGTGACATTTATTCACCGATTCAAGTACACACAATATTTAAAATTTAGGATTCGCGAATTTATAAAAATAATAGCATGAACATATATAATATACGAAATACTAGAGAAATATCCACCCATATATCTATCATAAGATAAAATGACATTTGAATTGATTTGTTGTTATGTATGTTCGTTAAAATCCATGGTTCTGACCACAACCGATGGAGTCTTTCCACATTGTCCAAGACATTTGAGACACTCTGCGACAATGGAAGTGCCTAAACAGTGCTCGTGGCACTCCCGTTGGCACTCCTCGTCTGGCTTTGCTTCACCTCCCACCATTGTAAGTATCATAATCAGTAGCATCGTGATCCACACCATAGTTATCTTTCTCTTCATTTTGATTTGTTTGATTTTTAAGTATATTTAGGAATGATCAGGAAGCATCATATAATTTATACATCTCATCCATTTAAAAACATATTATACATAAAATTAAAATAGTTTACGCATGAAGATCTTACAGTTTATTATTGGACTTTGATTTTATTAGCAGATTTGGAATTTTGTCAGAATTTTTTTCTTCATATATTTATTAAAAGATTAATAATTAGACAAATCTTACAAAATGAGACAAACTGATAATTACAAAAAAAAGTTTCATAGATATCTAAATGTTTTAATGCTGGATTTTTTATATTATTTTTTAGTCTGATATTAGATTCCCTTCTTTATTTTTCATAAAATTTCATGATAATTATCCTTTTTATTGAGATTCCATTTTCAACTTTATTATAAAAAACCCGAACATTGTATGAATATAAAGAAAGTTTTGTAGTGAATATAGATTCATCTCTCGTTGTTTGAAAAAAGATGCATCTCTCGACCTTTTTCTTTCTCCAAAACGTGAATAGAGATTCGTTTGAGATTTGCAAGGAATATACTAATCAACCTCGTATTTTACCTGTGTTACTAGACACGCTTAATCAAGCATGCTTTTAACAAAACAAACAGTAAAAGTCTAAATCTTACAAAGGCCAACGCTCTTAGAAAGTAGAGAAATTTCACGAATTGTATTATGTATACTACTTTTTTTCTGTTCAACCGATCGTCATCCTACTTACTTATCTTACCTTCTTTTCAACAGTATGTTTCGCATTATAGATTATGACATCATAAAATTTCATTTTCTATAAACACGCCTCAAACACTATGGAATCAATGAATATTTTGTGTGTAGTGTAATAAGAAAGCAATGTTCCAAAAAGCAGTGTAGGTGATGTTTTGTTAATTGTCAATAAATTTTGTTTTTCCTTTTTCATATGCTTAGCTTCTCAAGTTCTATTTTTATGGTGATAAAATTTCTAAATTTCAACATTAACAAAAACTATCATAATGTCATCGTCGACTTTTTTTGTTTGGTGTGAGGATGATCTAGAAGGGCTTGACTTTTAAGAATCCTAATCCCTTAAGCTTTGCTGAAATCCCGTTACGATCTGCAAATCATATTAAACCTTAATTGACAGCAACACCTTCCCCAAATTAAATACTGATTTAACCACTCTGAGAATAACGCGACATTCAAATTAAAGCCCAGAATATTTTTAATATAATTTTTCATTAAAAATCTGAACTAAAACTTTACTTCTATTTAATGAAATCAAAATCGTTTTCAATATTCTAGTATATGCTGCTACGTATGCCATGAACGGGTCAAGCAAAATATTATTTTCTCCTTTCCTTTGTAAAATAATACAAATGGCTTGTTTCTGAACAAAACCTCACTTTTAGTTTTGATTTGCGATTTGCACGGTTCCTCTCTCTCCTTCTCTCTCGTTCTTGCCAAAATGGCGATGTTAGATCCTTCAGCTAAATCCTTCAATACCCATTTGTGTTTTCCAAGTATTCCCAGTGATCACTCAGATTCCGGCGTCTGTTCGCCTACCCTGTGGAGAACCAGTCCGCCGAAGAGTCCTCGTCACCGGCCAGAAGATTACTGGAGCCTCTCGCCGGACTCGAAGGCAGAGGCTATCGCTCGTGGCCAACGAGAGCTTATGGACATGGTTAGTAAGATGCCCGAGTCGTGTTACGAGCTTTCATTGAAGGATCTTGTCGAAGTGAGGGGAAACGAAGAGAGTGACAGGAAGGTGTTCGATGAATTGCCTAAGAGAACGAATAGGCAGAGTAACGCTGTGAGGAAGACGAAGAGTGATAAATGGGTTGATCCGAATCGAAACAGTAGCGTAAAAGACAGTGGCTTTCTTCTTAAAATGATGTTTCCTGTTAGCTTAGGATCTAAGAAAGATACGACGAAGAAGATGACGAAGTATAAGAAGGTGGATTCTTCTGTGACGGTTAAAGATTCTCGGGTTTCACCGAGACCTTCGATCTCCGAAGAGTCAGTGAAAGCAGAGGATAAAGAATGGTGGAATAGATTGTCTGATCCGAGAGAAAGCTCGAGCACAGAGAGAAGCGGAAGTAGCAGTAGCAGCAGCAGTAGTAGGAGTCGAAGCATCAGCCTAAGGTATGTTTGAAGTTGGGTATCTTTCATATTCACATACGCAATGCTAGTTGGATTTGCTCTGGTATTGATGAAAATTCACAATTGTTCTAAGCATTCATCGACGCATATAAACATGAATTAATTGGCTTTGCTTTTTTGTTAATTGTTGATCATTTTTAAAATCTTGATGATATTTTTCCTCGAGAGTTAAATACCCTGTGTCCGTACAGGTATATGGTATCTGCTGCTCTATGATAAAAATCTCTGTTTGCAAAGAAAAGAAAATAAAGGAAATCAACTTTTAATTGTTTCACCTCTTCCGTTGTCTTACTGGAACTGTTTTATAATACCCTTTATTGTTCATCATGTGAAGTATTAACGATCTTTTTGGTTGTTTGGAAATTTTGTTGTCTAGTTTAAGACTTCTTATCTTCCCCATTAATTATGAAACTATGTAAATTATATCATTACCGAAAAATACTCTGTAGATCTTTTAAGACTTTAAGGGAAGTTAAGATTTAGGACTCTGTCTGTCTGAATGATTCATAGTGCATAACTCAAATCTCATTGGCATTTATGGAAACTTTTGGGGTTTGATCACATGCAGGGATAGAAACAGTGGCTGCTTCTCGTTCCTCTGGAGTTTACATTGACAAGAGTGAACCAGAGTTAATCCTCAATGTGTGGTGAGCTATTTAGGTTTTCATGGCTATGAATCTTCCGAGGAATGGTTCCAAGAACAGAGGAGATGAGACCGGAGAGATGAAAACCGTTGATTGTGCCACAAAGATGACAACTTTTATGATGATACTCCTAAATTTTGCTTTTTTATTAGCGTGTGCATCGTTTTGGATACGAATTTAATTTATGTAAATAGAGTTTAATGTGCACTGATTAGCTCTGAATACTTTGTTTTAGGACCTACTCGATTACCCTTGTTACTTTATTAAAAGCCTAAAACTAATAAATTTACATCATACTTTGCCTTAAAAGGAGAGTTCTTTTCTGTTCAAAGAGAAAGCTGGTGTGGAAAATCGGTACCCGCGTGGGTCATGCTCTGGACTATAAGAGAATTTTAAATTTTTTTGTTTTAGGAGTGGCTGTTCTCGTCTAAACGCGCGTCTTTGTTTGCTGTGTTTAGGAAACGCGTTTTACCTCTACAGCGTTTTGGAGTTCTCGGAAGAAAAGTCAATGATGAAAAATGAAATCAATTTGGATTTAGTTTAAGGAAATTTTGGTATATTATTAGTTGGTAATGATCATTACTTTCAACCTAATTAATATTCTTTCTTTTCCGTCACCGACCGTTACTTTAGCATAGTGAGACAAAAGCCAAAACACAAAAGTTTGCATCTTGCTAAATGATAGAACAAAGAAGTCGCAGTTGATTTATGGACGGCTAAGCCTGATGATGACCTGATACAATCATACAAAAGTTCGATCGTTTTCGAATACAAGTGTTAGTTTTTTTCCCGAGAATTCGTTAAATTGTTTCATCTCCTCAATCGCAAATTTTCGCTCGGTCTATCACCTATTCTCAAGTTTAAAGTCTATAGACAGGTGAATTCTGTTATGTTTGTGCTGATTCGGTTATCTTCCTTAATTTTACAGATGTAAACACATTATGGGTTTTATTTGAAACTCTTGTCTAGACTTCGATTCATACTTTCTCAATTGTTGTTTCCTTGATTTCCAGTTTGTTGGATTTGGTAATTTGCTGGCTTAATCTGTCATGGGTTTTCGTAAAAGAAGGCAATTTCGTGATTTTGGATTTTCTTCTTCTGAGGATTTCACATAGATATTGTTCTACTTGGTTTTTTGTTTTACAATCGATGCTTCTGGCTTCGTGATCTGGTCTGGTTACAAGCTGGTTTGTGGATTGTGATAGCTGTTATTTGTTTTCAACTGTCTTGATTCCAGTGATGTGATACAGTGTTTGATCTTTATTTCTTTATAAACTTACTGGAATTGAGAGGTTATATATAATGGTGTTTCAACCTTTGTTTGTACTTATAGGAAACTTGAAGCTTTAGGATTTGAATTGAAAAAGAAGCGAACTTGCAATGGCAAATAACGCGGCTGCTTGTGCTGAGAGGGCTACAAATGATATGCTGATTGGTCCAGATTGGGCTATCAACATTGAACTGTGTGACATTATCAACATGGATCCTAGGTAACGTCGTTTGATGTGTTTTCTTACTCTCAGAACCGCTTTTTGAATTACTGATATCTGAATGAGTTTAGGCTAGGAGGCTTAGAATTCTTACCTTCTTTTGTTTCTGTAGTCAAGCAAAAGAAGCAGTGAAGGTGCTCAAGAAGCGGTTAGGAAGTAAAAATTCTAAAGTGCAGATTCTTGCTCTTTATGTAAGTGCATTGTTATACTTATTCAAGGATACAATGCTTTGGTTTGGTTATGTTTAGTATACTGATATTCTCATTCATAAATGCTCGGGGGGTTTTGGTTAAGGCATTGGAAACTCTGAGTAAGAATTGTGGCGAGAGCGTGTACCAGCTTATCGTGGACCGTGATATTTTGCCTGATATGGTCAAAATCGTGAAGAAAAAGGTTTGTTACCATCTCTCACCTGCTTGTTATATTTCAATTCTATCATCAAATTCGCTTACCCTGGAAATTTACCAAACTCACTTATGCAGCCAGACTTGAGTGTAAGGGAGAAGATACTTAGTTTATTAGATACATGGCAAGAAGCTTTTGGTGGAAGTGGCGGAAGATTCCCTCAGTATTACAATGCTTATAATGAACTCAGGGTATAGCTTGAGTTTTGTTATGTATATACAATTCTATATTATGTATCAAAGTCATGATAACCGGTTTTGCCTTTTGAAACTTTTAGTCTGCTGGAATTGAGTTCCCACCTCGAACCGAGAGCAGTGTACCATTCTTCACTCCACCTCAATCTCAGCCCATTATTGCTCACGCCACTGCAACTGATGAAGATGCTGCTATTCAAGCATCTTTGCAAAGTGATGATGCTTCTGCACTCAGGTACACTCTCCCTTGTAGAATTTCCTGTCAGCGTTCTCTTCTCTATCAAGTAATTTTGTTTGTTAGACTTGTCTAATGGATAAATATGTATGCCTTGATCTCAAGCATGTTAAAGACTTTTGTATCTTCGTTTTTTATAGCATGGAAGAGATTCAAAGTGCTCAAGGATCAGTTGATATTTTGATGGACATGCTTGGGGCTCTTGATCCAAGCCATCCTGAGGTAGGATATTTTCAAAATTTGATTTAGTGGCTCTGTTGTTTGATCTGATATGAAACACTAACTATTCTTGATGTTGTGACAGGGTTTAAAGGAAGAACTTATAGTTGACTTGGTAGAGCAATGCCGTACTTATCAAAGACGTGTAATGACTCTGGTCAACACTACATCGTAAGGATTCGTTTGTTTTCTCCTTCACCCTCCTGTTCTTTGCTCAATTTGATAGAGTTTGTTAATGGCGAATAAGAGACTCCTTCCTTTTTTGCAGAGATGAGGAACTTCTCTGTCAAGGATTGGCATTAAACGACAATTTGCAGCGTGTTCTTCAGCACCATGATGATAAGGCAAAGGGAAACTCTGTTCCTGCAACAGCTTCCACTCCAATACCGCTTGTCAGCATCAACCACGACGATGATGATGAGTCAGATGATGATTTTGCTCAGCTAGCTCACAGGTAATACCCAATCCTTGCTCATTCCCGTTGACTCCCAAGACTTGGATTGCTAGAATTCATCGATCTCATCTCTGCAGGTCGAAAAGAGAGAGCGCACGAGGGAGTGGACAAGGGGGTTTCAACCCTATCCTTCCTCCCCCACCATCTACAAGGAGGCCAGTACATGTTGAATCTGGTGCTATGGACTTCCTCAGTGGTGATGTCTACAAACCTCAAGGAACCTCGGAGAGTGTAAAGCCTCCGAGTACTTCCCATTCATCAAATCAAGACTCTTCTGCTCCTGTTTTCGATGATCCAACTCCCCATAGCAAATCCCCTGAGCAAGCTTTGTTCACCAAACCAGTTAATGACCAATCAGAGCGATTGCCTCCTGCTCCTTGGGATGAAGGAACCAGGGTTTTTCCACCACCGATGTCTGCTAGAACCAACCGTAGGCCAGAATACTTGAAGCATAATAATGTTCCTCAACACTCAAGCAGTGGCTCTGATTCCTCTTACGAGGATCTCGTGGGACAATCGCGGAATCTCTCTCTGAATCCAACCGCCTCTGCTGCTTCTGCTGCTACACCACCAAAGAAAGATGACAAACCAGAGGATATCCTTTTCAAAGACCTGGTGGACTTTGCAAAAACCAGGAAACCATCGTCTTCTTCTTCTTCCTCCAAACCCAACAATCAGAACAACAAACCGTTTTGAGACAGAGCTGCCAGTTGTTGCTTTAGTAACAACTACTCTTTACCATTCTTTCTTCTTCACTTGTGTTCTTGTTTTCTTTGATTGAACATGGATGATGAAAGTCGTGTTTTTTTTTTTTAATAAATTTTTTTATCAAATAAAAAAGTGAATATCTAGAGACTATTACTGGATACTGGATGGAAATCTCACCATGTATACCAGGTAAATCGCATTTAATACAATGTATATAAATTCTCAGTCTGCGGAATACAAAGATTCTCCTATTCAATCTCATAAGAGTAACAAAAAAAAAGTTCTCGATCGAGTATTGGTTCCTGTAAGCAAGTCTAGTGTAGGTCTACCACAGATCAATCCCATGGGAGAGAGCCAGGAAAAGGAGCTGAACCACAGTACCTGAACAATCCTCCAATTTCAGGGCAACCATTAGGGTAAGGTATAGTCCTGTGGAAAGGGTCACGCTTCAGCTTCTTACGCCAAAGCGAACCAACACATCCGTATGGGTCTTCTTGAAACTGAGCTCTAACCATAGCCTCGCCTTTCAGAGCGCTTTCTTTAGACGAAAGTGAAGCTGGAGTTCCCAAGTAGAAGAATCTTGATTCCGGAAACCCCATTGCCGAACGGTGCAAATGCGCAAATCTCTCCTCTTTAAAATCATAACTCACAACCTGATCCAAGCATCAAAGGATACATTAACATCACAAGAATGAACAACCTTTCAATTACTAAAGAGGGAGAAAATTTTGAAAGCAAAAGGCTTTACTGTTATGTTCTTTGGGTAAGAGCCTGTGAGCTCTCTGAATCTACACACGCTAAAGAGAAGATTCTCAAAACTGTCTCTGGCATGCTCTTCCGTCAATGCCCTTGACCTCACCTCATCCTTGCCTGTCCCAATATCAACAATCAAACCATCAATGTAACAAAGAGCAGAAACTAACATAGCAGAGTTAGTAATTACACTCACCGAACCATCCTTTAGACTCAGCGACAGCCCAATAACTCTGAGCTTCACTGCGAGGCCCTGCGTCTTTACGAGTCTCTCCTCCACTAAACAGAAGCAAAGACTCATCATCTTTAGCTGCAGCCTCAACACCTTCTTCTATATGGCTCAAGAACGTCGACGCCTGACCTGGATGCTTCTGATAAGACTCCAAGAACCACGAATCCTCCTTATCAACTCTACCACAATCACTGCTCGTATAAACAGAATGTCCAGCCACCATCACGAGGTTTTTCAGATTCGCAAATGGGTAACCATCGTTATCCAAATCCGTCTTCTTATAAGTGATCGTTGATCGAACATGGTTCTCGTATATCGACGACAGGAATATCAGGAATGTGATCCCGAAGGAGAGGAGGATGATGAAAACGAGGATCGGGTGTAATTTGAAGAAGTGGTGAAGGCGATTCCCGAGAGATTTGAACATTTTGGCAAACGAATTCTTCGGCTTTCTAAATTTTCTGACAGTTCCTGATTCTAAATCAAAATCGCCAGCTCTTGGGTACGCATAATACGATTTGTTGGGATTACTCGACCCAAGTGGATATTTATTCATTATACAACCAAACCCAGGGATCGAGACCAGCAATGAGGGAGATTGAGCATTCCCAGATCAGATTTAGGGAGACTAATACGTGTGATCATCAAAATTTCATAAGTGTGTAATCAACAGAAAGTTGCAGACTTTGATCAAACCCAGATCATTGACTTCAAAGATAAATCTCGACAACAAATTAAAGGATATTCGATCACAACCCAGGTGAAAAATTTTCCAGAATCGAGGCAGAGAAATTAACGAGAAAAAAAAAACTCACGAGATTTTATTTCAATGTCCGGTGAATTCTAGAGCTTTCAATATAAGAAACCAGATGTAGAGTTTTGCATCTACTCCGTTGACCGAGAGTGTGGTAATATATTCGACCGTCAAGTTCGAAGATTTTAAGACAATTCTCGGAAAGATGTTGCAGTACTAATTAGAAAACTCGGAAAGATGTCGTCGACGTGAGCGAGGAAGAGAATTGGAGGAGAATCGTCCAGAATCCAAAACTTTGAAATCTTTAAGCCCAGATCCACCTTTTGGTCCATGTCAATGTAATGGGTTATAAAAAAAATTCATTTATGGTTCGTTTTCATCATTTTTCTTAATTTCGAATTTTTTTTAAAAAAATTGCTCCAAAATTATCATAACTATGAAAAAAAATAGATATATGTAGGACGACTGGTTTGAACATCCGAGCTTAAATATAAAAGTTTATAGGGCTGATATAGCCATTGGAAACATGTTTTTTGTAATCAACCGTATGATTTTAGGATCATAGCTTCTAAAGTTTTTATTTTGTCAACTAATGAGAACCTTTTAACAAAAAAATACTACGCCACTTGTGTGTTGTTTCATTTAGATCGTATCGCGATTAATGTAAGAAAGCATTTAGAAATCTGAAATCCATCATATTATGATTGACATATTTAATTATAATGTAAGTTTATTCCCCCACCATGAATTAATACATCACAAAGGTCAATTTGCCAAAGTAATATTTACGTTTTTTTTATTCGTATGAATACTCGATATTCTTTTCATCATCATATAGTATTTGTTTTTTTCAATTCATTAATATATAATCTTTAGAACGTATTCACATGCTAATTGTGATGATGTATATGTGAAGCATCAAGCTTGTGATGTGACACGTTCTCAACTCTTATTTGTCTACTTTGTTACGTAAGTAAAATAGATACTGCACTGTATCTTCCTTAGTTCCTTACCGTAGTCCACTCTTGTCCGTTATGATATTAGGTTAATCGATAGATTCGTGACAGACCAAATATCAATAATTTAGCCGGCGTAGTTATTTGTTATGCTAGTCGATTACTTTTGTATTGGTCACATCTCGCATGTTTTGGTTTTGATACTAGAATATAAAGTAAAAATATTTAATTCAAAAATGAAACAACACAAGTGCATAGTATTTATGTCTTCACTTATTACTCCACACTACGATAGATATATACGAGAGTCCGAGGGTGTGATTAGGGGACAAAGTAAAATGTGAGACGGTCCGGTTCAACTATATTTCGCTGGCGTTGTAAAGTGTATATATTATTATTATCTTGTGAAGAAATATAGTTTTGTTGCTATTGTGTGAGAGTGTTATTTATATTTTTGGAGAAAGCTTAAGACAACCTTAATATATAGAACTAGAAGAAGTTCTATTTATGTATCAGTTCTACAATCTAACTTTTTCTCAAAAAGCGATAGTTCGGATGATTAAAATAAATAATTCGTACAACAACTGATATACATGCATAACCATAGATATATATATATATATATACATTTTTCGTAAAATAAAAACTATCATTTCAACGAAAACATTAAGTAATAAGAAGACTTCTGAATCCATCTTTTACATCGATTTTAATCTGTTCAATCCGTACTGTTCCTGAAAAAAAAAAAAAAATCACCATGCATGATGATCAACATATGTTAACCCCAGAAATTGATAACATAAGTATATGCATATGGTAATTACCAGAACAAAGTAGATTTCTTTGAGAATAGGTGTCAACAATGAGCTTAAGGTATCAATGTCTTCTCTAAGGGTCTCATAGCTCTCGTCTCTTGCACCGATCGCGTCCATGAAAGTCTTATTGTCAGGCACTAGCTTCAAACACACCTTCATTATTACATATTTAACACGATATCAATACGTGTTATTTATATCCCCCAAAAATTAAACTTAAATGCTTATAACGTGCGTAACCAAAGATTTAAAGGGATGTAGCAAGAAAATGATGTTTTTGAAGTATGAAATAGCTAGAAGAATAGTGATCATGGTGTATACTTTGAAAGCAGCAGACGCAATCCATCCATGATGCGGTTTTAAAGTCGTCATGTAGCATTCTTCTACAAGTTCTTCCATTTTTGACGACATCTCTTTCGACAACAATCGTAATAAACCCGCTGTAAAATCCATAGTCCTATATATAAAATCCATGGTTAAAAGAGGGTCATAAAGCCTAACTAGTTTGAACAGAAAAAGGCATAATTGATAAATAGTAGGTTTAGATTTATATATAGAGATTTGAATAATTAGTTTCATAAATGCATGATTAAGATAAGATAGAATCACTCATTTGTCTATCCATATATGATATGACTACTTGGGTTCACAAATAATATGTGATAGTCTTTTTAATTTGTTTCGATATACATGAGTCCGAACTTGTATAACTAGCTAGTGGTAAGAATAGAGCGGATATGTACGAAGGACAAATTAATTTTGAATAGTGCAATTTGTTAGACTACAATCCTGATCATGTGCATGAATATTAATAATTGTTAATTATGAGAATTCTATAATTAGTTGATGAAATTATAAGGTAGTGAAGGGAGAATGTACCGAGTAAGCCAAAGAAGAGCTTTACTACAACTAGCAACCATCTTGAATGTCCCCTCCTTCATTTCTTTCTTCAGAATCTCAACCAAATTGGAGTAAACACAAGGATCTGTTTCCCAAAGCTTCTCTAAACTCTACACCACCCAAATCAATAAATAAGAAAAACATAAGTAAAAGATAATTTAAGTGCAATAAAAAGAAGAGGGAAACAAGTTTAGCCATTTTTATAGAAAGTCATTTCAAAATGGACTAAAGTACTCATGAAAGCAACCAAATAAGGGATTACAAGGCTGAGATTGAAATATTGAAGAGGATCTTTTCCCAAAAGAACAACACTGAGGAGATATAAATGAAGCTATTGGGTGTTCTTTTCAGCATAAAAGCTCAACAGTCTTTTTGTATATATGTATTAATATTAATATTATAGACCCATCATTCATACATACGTTATTATGTTCAGACGATGTTGATGAGTTACTTTCAACCAGCAAAGAGGAGATAAATTAAAATAAAACAAAGGGTCTTGTCTTGTCTTCATATGCATGGAGTTACATAATCTCTAGTTACCTGAATATTTTGATCAATATCTTGTCTAAGAACAGCCATTGTCGGTCCTATCTTATCTGCAAACACCCAAAACATAAACAGCTCAATAAAATCGTTGAGTGTGCTCAATATGAACATTAGAGAATGAAACAAATTAACTAAAAAAGATAAAAAATTCCAAGGAAAATAAAAGAGGAGACCAAGAACTCGGATGATTAAGTTGCAGAAGGAGAGAAGAGGCCTCAAGGGTATATGTGTGGTTTCAGTGTTATCGGCAGGTTTAGTAATTATGACGAGAGAGAGCTCTTCAATGGCGATTTGAAGTTCTGTCTTTTTCTTCTTAATCTCCATCTCGTATCTCTTTCTCTTCATGTCTTCTCTCTTGATCCTCTTTCTTCTTACTTTCTCGTTCTTTATAAATCAAGACATCTGGACCATATATATATTTATATAGTGTAGTAGTACAAAACTGCAAAGTACATGAAAACATCGCTTTGACTTTAAATTATCAAGTTGCCGTTATCTTTTGTATTATAAAGGGACGAATTAAATAATAAAATAAAAGGCATTCAACTTTAATATTATAAAATATGTATATATATTCCTGGTTATAATATGATTGAGTGTAATATTATTGCTTTGGGTTAGAAGCGGAGACAAGTAAACTTCAACAGCAAATTAGATCATGGTCCATATAAAACTCATTTGTTATATGTATATACACATATATGTGGCATGAAAACAGTAATCGACTAATCGCTTAGATTCCTTATATGATGATGATGGTGACCCACTTTTTGACCTCTACAGTTTGGTTTACGGTTCTAGTCGACTCGATTATCTAAACCATAATGTTAATTGGATTCACGCAATATGTATATGAATATAATTTGCGCTGAGAGCTTAACAAAAATGAAGCTGAACCGATTCAATAACCGACTTATTGTAAGCTTTAAATTTTGGATAAAACAAAATAGATAATATTATACAACTAAAATTTTATTCAGCTATTACGTAAGTTTACAAATTTAACCGTAAAACGAAAAATAATCATTAAGTTATATTTGTAATAGATACATAGCAAAAACTTTTTTTTTTAATTACTTATGATGAATATTAATTTGAATAGTAGCAAATTGAATGACAAAAAACATAAATGCGTATATACAAAACAACGTGTAGTTTTAATGACTTAAGCACCTTGCAATGTTCGTCGACATTAGAGATTCAAAAACAAAATCAAAATGTGGGTATAAACGATTAAACTAACAGTTGAAAACTAATAATATTGATTAAAGGGCTCAGGGTTTCGTTTAGATGTGCTGGTTGGTCATAAAGGCATGCCAGGATGAAATAAAAGGAATCTTCTCCCAATTTCTTAATCATTTGGAGTGTCAGCTCTTCGTTCATGAATCCAATCATTAACACCACTATACAATTAATTATAAAGTGCATATATATCTCTTTTAGTAATGTAAAATCTTAATTAAAACATAGTTTTCAATTGAAGAGTTAATTTGCTTCATAATTAACATACCCAATACGACAATAATGTTCCTCTGTATCGGACACTACTCCAAAGATCATTAAATACCATTATTGTTAGAACATCAAAAAATAAAAACAAAAATTATAAATAGAAATAAACAAGTGATCAAACGGCCTAACGAGTTTTTTATTTTTAGAATATATAGTATATAAAAAAAACTTGGTTTCTACGATTTTTACTTATAGAAAACCATTTTCTAATGTTAATATACGTAAAGTAATATTTTTATTGTTGGTAAAACTAACCAATGGTTGACATAGATTGTTCTTCCACTCTATACATACACCGTACCATATAAGCTGATATAAACCGTAAGTTGATAAATTTATACATGTGATAATTATTAGCTGGTCTACGAAAAATCCTTCTCTTATTTCTTTTTTGCCATTTATTTTGTTAATAACAATACTTTAAATCCAGTATCTAATATTAGTTTTTTCGGTCAACACAATTACTACTATTATATTGTAAAACAAAATCATATAATAGACTAATAGTAGTAATTGTATTGACGGAAAAAACTAATACTATATTAGAAACTGTAACAGATTTATAACCTAAATTTATCTAAAGTCCTCCCGAGTCCCGACCATGTCGACTTTAGTTACATAATTAGTCTTACTAGCTAGCCTTTTGTGATAGACGACGAAAAAGACAAAGAATATACTGTATATCCATTAATCGTAGCTTATAAAGAAAGTAGCGTCTTCCTTAAATATAGAATCGCCATCTTAAAAATTCCAGTAGAAGAATGCCTTGGCTCTTTTAAGATACTGATTGTATTGTATATTAGAACATTTCTATTATAATACAGTCGTAGTAATTATCATTTTTTTGGACGACGTAATTATAATATTATTATCATATGACGATGCAATATGATTGATAAGCTTCAAATATATATAGACATATAAATGAGATCCAAATACGAGGGTGAATTTCCTGTCAAAAGTTTCGTAGCTTTACAATTTACGAATACTGTTCTGTAATATTTCATTGCAAGTTGATTTACCCTAAGATTTTAGAAACCAAATATGTTTTCACTTTGGGCTCATTTATTGGGCCAGGCCTCATATATTTAAGCCCAACATTTACATATGTCCAAAGAAATATACCGACGCGTGATTTGTGGCTCCGGGAAGAATTTTGAAGAAACAACGAGACTACCAACAATGGCTGCCTCTACCGCCATAACCGCCGTAGCTTACGGAGCTTCGTATCTAGTTCCTTCACGAAGCGCATTTGCAATCTCTTCGCGGAGATTCTCTTCATTCTCGCCGTCGAAAAGGTTGAACCTCAGTTATCTGCAGCGGAGAGTCAGTGCACCGTCACCGAGGCGCGTCGTGGTTCGTGCCGCCAGAACTGAATCAGGCGGAGTAAATTTAGGAGTTAGAGCTCCCAATTTCGAGGTAAGAGTGTGATTTTTCACGTCACTGGAGACGAATGATGAGGAATTTCTGATTTTAGAAATATTTGTGTGTTTTTGAGTGAACTAGCTCCCGGAGCCGCTCACTGGAAATTTATGGAAATTAGATGATTTTGAGCTGTATCCGTGTCTACTTGTGAGTATCTTCATCTATTTGTTTATATACCGTTTCAAATTTTCATAAGCGTTTGTAATTTGTATTTAAACATCTGTACTTGTGTGTTTTTTATACTGTTAGGTTATGTTCATCTGCAATCATTGCCCGTTTGTGATTCACTTAAAGAAAGACATTGTAAAGCTCTCCAATTTCTATATGAAGGTACCAATATTTTCTTCTCTGTTCTTCTTTCCCTAGCTTGACTCATTATGTGATGGAATCTTGGCTATAGAGGAGTATATCTATTACAGGGAATGTAATTAACTGTTTTGCCGTGCAGAAAGGTCTTGCTGTTGTTGCAATCTCTTCAAATTCTGTAGTAACACATCCTCAGGTTTGTGTTTGTGACTCCTCTAGTGTCACTTGATTATTGTTGGGATGAGGTTTTTATAAGGTTGTTCCATATTCATTTCCTTTCACAGGATGGGCCTGAGTTCATGGCAGAAGATGCAAAAGCTTTCAAGTACCCATTTCCCTACTTATATGATGAGGTATCCTTTGTCTCTTCTTTGTTGAGTATTGTTAGTCAATTTTACTCAAAATTCTGATAAATCTTTATGAGATTTTCTCTCTTACCTCAGTCACAAGAGGTTGCAAAGGAATTTGGAGCTGTCTGTACCCCTGAGTTTTTCTTATATAAGAAGGTAATTTGTGGTAATATATTATGACAGAAGATTAGCAAGTAGGCGGAAAGCTGTGTACTGTTTTATTGAATAATCTTGAAATTTTTTCTGCTCAAGCTCTGTTTGAAATATAGTATCAAGAATCTATGCTCAAGATAGCCATTTGTTGGGTTGGGAGTAGTTAATATCATGAAAATTGTGGCTTTTTTTTTTATCAACTCTATCTTATCTTGCTCTCGCCTTTCAAATGGAGCAGGAAGGTCGTAGGCCATTTGAACTGGTCTATCACGGCCAGTTTGATGATTCCAGGCCTAGCAATAACATTCCAGTAACTGGGAGGTTTGTTATTTAATGTTTTTGCTGTTAACATCTTTTCAGAGAAGTTATTACTTTAGATAGTCAAGCCTAACATGTTATATTTGCATAGGGATCTAAGCCTGGCGATTGATCTTGTCCTTAGCTGCCAACGAATACCATCAAACCAAAAGCCAAGGTACATTCAAATTTGATACATTTTTCTTTAATTCTTTCTTTACAATATCTACAGCCTTTGATGACTAACCGAGACCTTGCATTTGGTATCTATTATAGTGTCGGTTGCAGCATAAAGTGGCATCCAGGAACCGAATCGTGAGCGAAGACAATGATTTTACTTATAAACTGCCGCGCAGCATTTTTTTCAGGCGAGTTCCTTCTTTAATACTAATAATGTTCCATAAACTCAGGCAGGTCCGTAGTATGTCAGAACCAACAAAAGATTGATGAAAACTGTTAATTTATAGTTTCTGTTTCGATATAAGTGCACACTTTTAACTTCCTTTCTTGTTTACCAAAACCAGAAGAAGAACTGTCAAGATTTATCTTTTTAGCATATATCAATACTGTGAATTTATGAATCTTACAGGTTTGTTCCGAATCAAAACTGAAAGGAGAGGAGAAGGCAAAGCAGAGAAACTATAAAAGCCTGGCCGCCAAAAGAAAATATATTAAAAGTGTAAGTTGTATCCATTATTCAAGATTAATATACAAGTAATTTAGTCCACGAATCCTATTTCGTCGGATCGTTCATGTATGATATAAATTCATGAACAATATAAGAATGAGTTTTAGTGTAAGTAGTACGTTTTCTGTATTTAATAAATTAAGTATATGTGAATTAAAAGAAAGAAACGATCTTCCTTGGTCAAATCCCGAACTTGGTAAGATCTGTTGAACTCCAGTTATCACCATTGATCATGAAGCTCCCCTGAGAAATTAACTGGTCTGGCTCCTCTGAGAATGAGCATTCCAGGATCTCTTGAATATCTTTGTCATCAAGTAAACCCTGGAACTCGAAGATCTCCTCTTGATCTTCTTGGAGAAACTGACCAAATCCTCGTTGATCTTCTTGGATCTTCTGGTTGAACTCCCCGTAGAATCCAAGGTTCGCATCGGTTACTTGGCAGATATCCCAATTCAATGAATCTAAAGCCTGACTGGTTGTTGTTACCGGTGAATCTTGATCGGATCCAGTAGTATTATCTGTACTAGAAGGGCTCCGATCAGTCACATACTGCGCGAAAACCGCAGCCAAATCAATATCGGAAGCAGCAGAGCTGGACTGGAAGCCATCATGATCTTGGCTAATAAGACCATCAGGTCTATTCTCGTTCCGACCAAACCTTTTGTGACTGTTCTGTCTGCTGCGGCTTCTCTTGCGACAGCCTCCGCCGACAGGAATGTTGCGGAGAGAGCCGCCTTTGGTCCAGTAACGACGGCAACCTTTACAGAAGTATCTAGGCTGAGACAAACTGTAGTTGTTGTAATAACAAAACTTGGTGTTGGAAGATGCGCAACGAGGACAAGGAGGAGCAGTCTCCTCGTGTCCGTATGAAAGCTTCCATATCGCCGGGATTTCAATCTCCGGCGATGGAAACTGGTTCTGGTAGCTGTTGTCTCCGATGTACGGCAACATTTTTCATGTACTCTCTTTAAGAATTTTGGTGTGAAAGATTGGGGAATCTAACAAGTGGGCACTTGGTGTGTATTCGAGTACATGTAACTATATATATAGATATAATATGTACAGGCGTGTGTATGTAGAGGTGAAGAGGAGCATGTGTGTGTGGAAGTAGAGACGCATCGATAAATGTGTGAAGGGTTAACAAGTAAACGTGGGCGGTTGCCGAGCCGTGCGTCTCCTTTTCCGTTTCTTCTTCATCAAGTTACCTTCCAATTTTGGTACTTCAAAATTCAAATCTTTATTATTCAATCATTTGATAATTCAAGTTTCGGTAAACGATTCAATTAGTTTCTGTAAGATACGCTAATTGACTGGACCTGAAATTTGTGTTTCATACAATCTATAGACAGAATCAAAATAAATAATTGTAACTAACTTTTTAGTTTTCTTATAAACTTGGATGAGTTTTCATATTACATCTAAAAATTATTAAAACTAACACTCTGATTAAGACCAATCCATTTAAGATCTACAGCAAATGCAATCATTTTGGTGACCTGACAATTTTCTTACAATTTTTTATAACTGTGCTAATTATTTTATCGTACAAATTTCATTCTCTCATAATTTTTTTCTTTTAATTTCTTCTGTTATAGCTTATAAAAACTTAACGTAGGGCAATCATATTATATTAGTGTGTACGTAGATGATATGATGGTAGTCACTTACACTATCCGCATCTGCATCTTATCATCGTGAAACGCACGACAGCAATGAAATTCTTATTAAACAATGCATCGCAACATTTGATCACTTGCACTCTCTTCTACACTATCATTTCAACACTTCAAAGCGTCGGTACATACATTTTATATATATATATATATATATATAAATCATTTGTTTATCCATATGTCAAGTTATAATTAAGCGCGCCAAATCAAACTGGTTATTTACCTCATTACCTGCAAATATACAATTGTGATAGCTTAAAAAATATAATTAGTTTATAGTTTCTAAGGAAAAATATTTTTTTTGGTCAACTGTTTGATAGCTTTTGTTTTCGTGCATGTTTAAACTATTTTCTTTAACAAAAAAAAAAGATGTTTTGATTATTTTGCATGGCTGATTAAAAAGTTACCTGTCAACTGAAAGTACTTATGTTAGATTAATGACCGTTAAGAACATCGATTATGTGAACCATTGATAGAAAGATAGATTAACGCCAAGATTAAGGGCCACACGCACGGGAGAGCACGTGCTTTTTACCTACGTGTCGACCTCTGCTTCCCTTATTTCTATCAATTCCTTCACATCTACGAAGTTGAATTCTCTTTATATTGTTATTTTTAAGCATTTTATCATTATTATAACCGTTTACTTAATTTATTCTCGTCGTTCAATAGGGATATCTTTTTGCCAAGGTATAAGTTTGATGGGGCAGCTTCAAAACTAGATCTATGGTACGCTCCGATCCCGATATCACTTTTGGCTATACGATGCGATATCTGTAGTGTAATGATTAAAAAATAAAACTAAATAAATACTGTAAAATTTTAAAATAGGAAGTCAACCCTTAATTCTTTTTCGGGATGGCATTTATTCATCCCAGCTGTATTCTCAAACCAAGTTTGACTCGAAAGTGTATTTGACTTCAATTTATATTGTTTGATAGGAACAAAAATCTACGGACTAAGTGAAATAAAAACTTCGGATTCGACGAAACCTACAAGATTTATTTCAATTATAGACTATCAGGTATAACTTGTTACAAGTTTACAGCTGACTATAATTCCATTCAAATATGGATTACTCTTTAGAACCTAGTACTACTTTCATATTAGATTCTAAGTGGTTTTGTTATATGTCGCAGGCTGTTTCAAGTCTCAATCCATCCAAAGATGAATAGTTGTTCCATGTGAACTGAAGGTGTGGCTTGGAAGGGAAGCTAATCCAATGAAATCTACTTGCCTTCCCTCTCTATTCAAGGTAAGCACTGTAACTTATTGAACAATTAAGTTTTATATCTCTCATTAATGTTGTAAGAGTCTATATGGCTCACATGTCTATGTGAGTGGCTGAGTGTAGAAGCGGAGGTTTTGTGGCCAAGTAATGGAGAAACGGGGGTTTAGTGAACAATGAAGTTTCATAATTCCCAATTTGTTTATATTCGCAGTTTTGTGAGACACCCTTGACGATGGTTGTGTTTTCAAAAAGAAAAAAAAGTTTACAACTTACTTCCAAGGAGATTTGTTATTACATTAGAGTATAAATATAATCAATACATTAGCAAACAAAAAGAAAGTACAAGTATATATATATATATATATAGGGTTTTGTAAAAATAAGTCTTGCTAGCTGCATCTTTAGCAAAAAATGAAATAAAAATCTTGCTAGCTACACTGATTATCGATAAAAGTTATAGAACAATTTATTGCATCACCAATCAATATTGATCTCTTTTTTTTGGGTAAGGATCAATATTGATCTTAACTTTTGGTTTGAGGTTACTAGTTCTTTTCTACAATCTTAGATATTAAATGAAATGCGGACATTGCATGTAATAAATTAAAGCGTCGAGATATGCATTGCCGTTTGATTGCTCGAATGTTAAAATCCAAGGGACAATTGATCATAGATTCGTTTTAAGCCGGTTTTAGATTCACCATTTTGATGGGCAAGAGCTTAGGAACACTGGAACGCTTGACCAAAAGAGTGATAAGCTTATGAAAAGTTCCTCTTTATCTTCATCTTCATCATCAGAATGCAAACTTTCAAAGAATAAGTTGGAGTTCAAGCAGGTCAAATCAGCGTAGAAAAAACATGTTAATCTGTATACATTATGCTTTAAATAACAATGAATACACAAAGGACATTTCTAGTTTTAAGTATATATATTGTATCATTTTTTTCTTATTCAATTTAGTAATTCATATAAAGGATTCTTTGAAAGTAGCTATGGACTATTGTATTTATGTAAATTTAAATTTTGAAAATATTCTTCCAGTACACAAAAAATAACGAAGAGAAAAATCAAAATCAAAATCCAAAAGGCTAAAGGCTAAAACCGAGAAATTGAAAAACGGCCTAAACCATAGTTATTAAAACCGAGAAATTGGTTGAACCGGGCATCTTATCATGTTAGAAGTCCAAAGAATACGGTGTGAGAGACTCTTAGCAAAATAGCAAGTAACTGTTTAGTTCCGAAAATCTGAAATAGTTTGGGTTTTTGTGTCTCTATTTTTTGGGATATAAAATCTGTGGTAATATTGTTACTAAAACAAAACTAATAAAGAACGAAAAAAATGATTGGCTACATCGGAGCTATCTTTTGATTTGACTAATCTTGTAGTTTTTGGTATAAATTTATTTTCCCAACTAGCTTTTGGTAAGAATATAGGACCGATCGAATGTAATTTTGTTCCATATATTTTGTTTGCAATATATGATCAAAAATAAAAGATAGATGCAACGGCAGAAGGGGAATTTGTCTTTAGTTTGTTTTTAGTAACAATATTACCGCAGATTTTAAATCCCAAGAAAGGTGGTAACAATATTTGAATCCTCAGATTTTGCCGTAACATTGATTAAAACACATTAATGAGCTGATTCAAACAGGGAAATAATTATCACTAATACACCTTGTAGTCCTTACAAAAACACTAGAAAGATCAAAACTTTCTGAATTTTCATCAAACACCCAACTCTTTTTGGATAGAAACACAATAATAAAACAATCAACCAAAAAATGGTAATTAAGTTTGTATGCGTTTATATATAGTCATGATCCCTAATATTTGGGAAACTGACAAAAGAGAAAGAACCCAAATCTTCTACATTTTACATCTCTAACGTCTTCTTCTTAGAATTGTACTCGTAAGATTCTTGTTCTTGTGTGAAAATACCGATACTTTGTCCGTCTTTAAACAATGTCACAGCCAAAAACAAGTGGTAGAAGCTTTGGATTCATGAGGCCATTTATACGGCTGTGTATGTGCTTCGACGCGGCAGCGGAAGGCGAGCAACGGGGAAGATCTAAACAGTCACTGTCACGGAGGAGCAGCTCTGTTCACTCCATAAAATCATCTCCGGTTAATTCTTTCGGTAGGAGTCCGATGGTAGACGAAGAAAGGGATGAGAAGATCAAAGACGTTATTCTTTATTGTAAGATGAATTCCCCAATTAATTTTCCTTGAATTTTACACGCAACTCTTTATTATTATTTTTTATATCAGTTGTTCATTCACTCATAATGAAGTTGTAGATTAGATATTCATTCATTTTTTAGTTACTAATATGATTCGTTTCCTCAGAAAAATCCGCCTATAATCATAGACTTCGTTTATACTATTTTTTTGATCCATGGCTACCTTGCATATTTAGTTGATTATTTTAGCTAAATATGTCCACTCTCGGATTGATCCGGGTTTGGACGTCTCAATTTATCGCTTTTAGTATAAAATAGCAGGCAAAGTAAAATAATATCTTGTGTGAACAATTTTAGTTTCTATGGTTTAATTACTAATATTAGTAATATTGTTTAACCATATACACTTGACTGAATTATGTTTCAGTTTTTAAAAGGTGAAGTATTGATTCCATATTATATTTTAATTCTTTTCATTGTAAAAACAAAAACATTCTATTTTTAACAAAAAAAAAATCATTTGAACCAAATTAAAACTTCATTTGACTTTAGATGAGATTATTCTTGCTTCACTTGTGATCAATATAGTTTACTCGACCTGAACACTTATAATTGTAGTCCTGAAAGAAATAACGATCACAGTACACATAACAATAACTTTGATCTAGTGAGTTATTTTCTTCTTCTTTTTTGAAAAAGACTTAAATCAAGTGAGTTCTTTATGGTTTTAAGAAAGCTGAAATATTGACAATGCTAAGACTTGGTCATAAATTCTTGTTCGTACCGGACTATTGCAACTATTTGATATATATATTTTTTTTCAACTACCCAATTATTATATCACTATTGACCCGTTAAAAAGTGGTTCAGAAGAACTTCCCACAACTGGCTCGTTATGAATGATTTGGGAAAAGAAAATGCCTTTTGCTCGAGCTCTTTTTTGCAAGAATATCTGTTCGGACATTTGAACTTCTGGGAATATGAGAGAGTGTGAAGTTTATGAAGCTTTCTCGGAGATTGCGGAAGACTTCCAACTCTGATAGGAAAGATGGCCAATCCGATGGAGATTCTGACATGTTTACCAAATCCAAGCAATCGGTTTGAAAATGGACGGATAAGGTCAGTCGATCTTTGATGCAAGACATAGCCCATAAGAGGCTCTCCAACTCGGCATGAAGGACCGAGAGGCTTCTACGACAGCCCTGAAGGCCAAAAGTCTCACCACTCCTATCCTCCTTTAAGCTCCACCCTAGCCCAGTAACCAGGCCGCTGCCTGTCCAGGATGCATCAACCTGACAAATCGGGAACCTCGGGGCATCAGGTAGAGTAATCGGGAGCCAAGGAGTGGGGGTAGTCTCGTCTGTTGCGTCTTCGTCTTCTTCTGGGTCGTTTGCAAGCTTCCAGCTTTCTGATTCAATCTTGGCGTGGATCAAAGTATCTACTGGGGAAATTTCTTTCCCGTTGAAGATCTTGTCGTTCCTCGCTTTCCAAATATACCACAGGATCCAAGGATAAATATCCTTTTGTGGATCTGTCATGCCTAGCTCTTTTGTTTTCCAAAAGAGGAAGCTCATATTTTGGTAAATAGAAGTACTCAGGAAGAGGCCCGGAAGGGACGGAAAGTCCGATAACGCCCAGACTTGTAAAGCCGGGGGACATAAAAAAAGAAGATGGTTAATAGATTCTTCGGGATTTCCACAACGGGGGCAGTGCTTATCCGTTCCCATATGCCTATAAGTCAGGTTTTGGCAAGTAGTAATACATCCTGATAAAGCTTACCACATAAAATGTTTCATCTTTCGAGGCGTTCGTATTTTCCAAACGTAGCTTTGAAGAGCTGTGATGCTCGGTTCTCTCACGACATCTGAATTTTGTGCAAGCGTCGTTCTTCTAATCAAATCATAGCCCGATTTAACCGAATATATTCTCGATTTAGTATGGTTCTACACATATCCGTCTAGAGTGCGGTTCCTGCTAGGTTTCAACCCAATGATAAGAGAGACATCCTTAGGTTGGAATAAAACTCTTAGGAGAGGCACATCCGATGGTAGACTAACTATTTGATATTTTAGCAAGAGTTATAATATTGTTTAAAAATATGTTTATATTATATAAAATATCGATAGTCCAAGTAAAGATCTATACGCGTTCACTCGTATCCAAAGCAAATTGAGATGGCAAGTATGTTTATAAACGTTGTTCACTGAAAGTTACACAACTATATACTAGTTTATAAATATATATTTTTAATAATGAAAAAAATGGAATTTTGGAAGAATCTATAGAGACTTTGCAAGTCCAATCACTTTCATGCAATAATAAGTAAGTAAAAAGATTGACCTTGTCTTCTAGAGTTTTTAGTTTGACCAAAAATAGACCCAAAACCAAACACAAAAGACTTTTCTCCCCTCTTGTTTGTTTCCGCGTCTGGCAACAATATTGCAATTAGGCACTTTTTCCAGATTTTAGTTTAAAATTATTTTGTACTAAGTGTACTACCAAAGTACCAATCTACCATCTTGGGGTTTGCCAGAAAACAAAATACTACCATCTTGGCTTATTTCAAGTCGTATGTGTTCAAATTTATTAGATGATGCAATTTGATTTGAAAAATGGTAACTGAAAACGAACCAAAAGGAAATCATATTTAAAAAAACAATTATAGTTAACTTTTTCTAATTTTTTGAAAAAGATAATTATTATATGGGAAATTCGCTACGAGCCGCAACTAAATTGTTTTAGATGAACTGATTTTATTTCGCATCCAATCAATTTTCATATCTGTAAACCATATAAAGTCTAAACAGCAATGAACCGAAAACCAAAGGTGGGCCCATTTATACCTGAGTTATAATATAAGCATTTGTCATCTACATTTGTGTCTTCACAAATTTACGAATCTAATAGTTTCATAATCGGAGCCAAAAAAAAATCTGTTATATTTGTATGATTATATAGGAAGTATAAGTCTACCTAAGTAAACCCTCCCAAAAAAAAGTCTACCTAAACCTTGACATGCCAATCAATCTTCTAGAGCAAAATATTAATTTGTCTCTCAAACAAAATCTAAAACAGTTATCCTCGTTTCTGGTCAAAAGAGTCATGCATGTGCAGATGTGCTTATGAGTCAATACAAATACACATCTTGTTTCTATCGCGTATCGACAAGCTTCAAGGCTCGTGGACGAAATGGGAGAAAGCTCTCCTTTAATTTTTAGTGATGTCTGATGCGAGTTTGCAATATTAATTGTTAGGTGCAAATTCAATATGATACGTTTTCTAACTGTTATAATAGTAAATTTATCAAAAAAGTATTACTCGACTCTTCTTTTTTTTTTGTGTCAAATTTACGTTTCAGTTTGTTTTACCAAGAGCCATAGACTAGTACTTGAAGAATATAAATCAATTACAAAGTGGACACACCTAACTATTAAACCACTATATATCGGACATGTTTCATATTTCTACATCTCGAGTCATTTTAATTATTTTTAGCCAGAGATAATTGTTTAATTTACATGTTATCAAACTTCTGAATATATATATATTTTTTTAATTGAATAATTTATTATTTGACAAAGGGAAAATAGTGTTGATTATGATTTACCGAAACAAGTCTGTATGAGCATAACCGTGTAAGGAGCTGTACAAAATTATGCCAAGTCAGCAACAAACTATCTGACGTGGCACTCATGACCTCTTCTTCGCTTTTGACTTCCTCAGGACTTGGACATAGTCAACCCATAATTTACATTTAGTTGGAAAAAAAGAAAATAGAATTATACGACACAAGTAATAGTGTAATACACTAATACTAATCCAATTTCATATGAAGTATTTTTTTTTTCATATTTGACGTTGAATAAATAAATAAAACAACAACGTGAGCACCACCTAGCGGCCGGGTATATAAACATTATTCATCATCTTTTGGGTCGAAATTCATCATATCAATTTAATTATTAATCGTAAAATTGTGAATAAAAAAAAAGAATTACCAAATTTAGAAGTCCTAAAAAGAAAAGCGAGTCTCTCGACTCGTTTGTAAGGACTGGAAAACTTTCTATCTGGGTAAAAGAAAAGTAAACCACATTTTGGTAAGAAATAGATACGAGAAAACATCCAAATATTATAATAATCAATACGAAAAAGAAAAAAAAAAACAAGTAGCCAAATTTTACCGTTTTTAAAGTAGGAAACCCTCTGCTTTCCTCATTTGACTTTTCTCTCTCCCTCTTTTATGCACAAATGACAAAAATCATATATATAGAGGCATTCATGTACCCTCCCATTTCCCCTAATCATCACATAATCATTGTTCTTCACTAAATCATCATACACTTATATTTACACATATATACATAATATATACAGATATATATACATATATATATATCTATTCGTACATATTCTTCTCATAAAGTACTGTACTCGATGGATAATAAATCGCCAAGAACAAGAGAAATAATGGGACCGAGACCAACGCCATTGAAAGTAAATAAAGATTCACACAAGATAACCAAGAAGCCACCACTGGCGCCGCCGCAACAGCCACCACCGCAGCTACAACGGCGAGAACCGCCACAGCCCCTGCCGCCACGTGCTCCGGTGATCATATACACAATCTCTCCCAGGATTATCCATACGCACCCTGATAACTTCATGGCATTGGTTCAACGTCTCACTGGCAACACCTCCACCTCCACAACTTCATCCACGTCAGCACCAAACCACATGTCAGCATCAGAAGACACGTCGGGAACGATGGATGCATCCCGTGGTTCCATATCTCCGGCAGCTCGGTACGCCTCGACGGAGAAAGCTAATGCCTCGAACTACGAGCTAGGGTTTGCTGGTGACGTAGCTTCCACGGATCAGTTTTATCACCATCATCATCAAACTCGAGCGATCGAACGGCCCAGTTTTCATCAAGCAGGGATTTTATCGCCGGGACCAACTTCTCTGCCGCCGATATCACCTGGCTTCTTTTCTACGGTGGTTGGACCATCTGATCCACAAGGGTCGTCGTCGTTCTTCAATGATTTGAATTCTATTCTCCAGACCAGTCCTTCCACGATGCCGTCTCCTTCTTCGATGGACCTTTTCAACAATTTCTTTGATTCTTGAATCTTGATTGAGTTTTTATATCAAGTTCAAGTTGAACTAGTTTACAAGTACTAGAGGGAGAGAAAGGATATCTCTGTTTTTTACGCCTTTCATCATTTTTTTTAGATACACTCTGACAGATTAAGAGGGTTTTCTGCTTATGCGTTTCGTGATGATGACATCATTTGTTAGAATCAAATTGATTGGCAATTTGATGATATTTGTATTCGTGTTTGGTGGGCGCCTTTTCATAATTGATAAACTTTATCTCTAGTGAATAGTGTCCCTCCTTAGCTTCTAAATATTCTACTTAATCTTTTAGCCAAATTTTATGAGTATGTAAAATTTTCATTTAGCACCATCGAATTAGTAGAAAATCTTATTCTAATTATTAAATGAAAAAATTACGGTTCAAGATCCCTTGTGCTGCTTTTAGATGGGCCAACGGATCTATGAATTTACAGGCCCGTTAAATTGGCGCCAGAATGGACCGGGTCTATAAGAAACGGGGCGGGTTACCCAGAGTCGGATCATCCATTCATTCACTTCGGTTGTCGAAATCGAACGCACAAGAAAACTCGAAACTGGACAAAAGAAATTGGAAGAATTAAACGAATTATTAAATTTCGATCTGGACAGAAGAACGAGCAATCGGAAGCAATAAGCTGCAGCAATCGAAGCTTTTTTTCTTTCAAAAAATCGAAATTAGGGCTTTTCGTTTCTTGAAATTAGTCTTTTTTTGATCCCTCGATATCTTGTTTCCGTCGCCGTCCATGGCAGATGGGTACTGGAACCAGCAGAGACATCATCAGCCTCCGATGTCGTCGATCCCCCACGGTGGTCCTCCGAAACGTCCCCGCTCTGACTTCGGTAAACCTAAATTCTCCTCGAATTTGTGATTTTCAATCTAGACCTCGAGGAGCTGTTTTCAACACTTGGATTCAATATTCAATTTAGCTCTTTTCCTAGTTGGCATTGCTGTGTTGATTAGTCATGTAGAAAATTGAACAGATCTTTCACCTGTTAATGGTCTTAAGATTGCCTCTTTGCCTTGAAAACAATATCTCTTCTTATTGGAAACTAATAGGCTGAGTTATAATTGAGCTGCACTGTGCTACTATCGCGTTGGAGTCTTGATCCGATCGTTCCAAGTATGTCTGTGATCGAATGGTTATGCTGTAGATAATCACTGCTTTATAGTTGCAGATTATGTTTTGTGTATACAAAGTGGTCCATAGGTTTATGATCCAGTACTATTACCTATGAATGTGTAAACAGCGTGTGAACTTGATTTGTGTTTTTTTGTTTGCCTTGTATTGTTCAGACAATGATATGCACGGTTACTTGTCACGGGAAGAGGATCGAGGTATCCCTCATTCAGTAAAAGATACCAGAACTATTGGGTCAGCTTATGACCGGTATCTGCAGAGTGTGGTACATTCCTTATTCACCTATGTTTAATGTATACTCTCTTCTTCGTTTGTTTCTTTCCCCAGTGAAGTGAATTTTTCCCTGTTTTGTAGCAAACGCCTTCTGTGCCATCTGAAGAAGCTGGTAGGTTTAATGGTGATGGCATGGGAAGACCAGGAGGTAACAGCGTGATGCCTAGTCCGTCCATGAATGAGCTCATGAATGGGCGTGGTGGAATTCTGCCTCCGGATTTTGGGCCAAATGGTCGGGCTTTGGGTTTTGGTCAACAAGATTTAGCTGGTAGGCCTAGCCGGGAACTGCTTCGTCTACCTCCGGATGCATCCAACACTTTATTTGTTGAAGGACTTCCTTCTAATTGCTCAAGGAGGGAAGTAGCTCGTATCCTATTTTACGATTCGCTTTTCAAAAGTTCTTAAACCAAACATTTATATCGTCGTTTAAGGATGTTTGAGCTGCTCAATTTTCTTAACTTTATGTCTAGATATATTTCGGCCTTTCTTGGGTTATAGAGAAGTGAGGCTTGTGACCAAAGATTCAAAGCAAGTAAGACTCACTGGTCCCAATTTGAAGCATTGTTGAGAAACTGAATCGTCCCAGAGTTTCATTAGTTTTGACTTACTAAACGGTTTCTATGCAGAGGAATGGAGACCCTATTGTTCTTTGTTTTGTTGATTTTGACAATTCTGCATGTGCAGCAACTGCTCGTACCGCCCTGCAAGGTACCTAATGGAAATATTTTGTCCAACACATATTGAGTTTATGTTGCATTGTGTATTGTAATAGACTTATCTTCATCAACATGTTTCGGTTTCCTGAAAGAAGACGCTCAACCTGGGACTTAACTGATGCTAGCATTTATTTGACAGGCTATAGAATGGATGAAGACGACCCTGATTCCAAGATTTTGCAAATCCAATTTTCCAGAAACCCAGGTCCAAGACCAGGACAACGCGGAGGAAGGAGGTGATGAGTCAGTGACATTTGGGCACATCAACCAAATGGTAACTTATTGTTTCTCTAGAACTCAAACATACTTGACCATATATTCAAATCCTTAGGAGTACTCTCACTCAAAGAAATAGAGATGTATGGATAGGCACAAGAGTCTAGGAGATGAGGTGATTGGAATCCAAAGTCTCTCTCACTCTCTCCCTCTCTTCCCTTCTTTTTTCCCCATCTTCTTGATATATTTAGAGCATGATCTTATTAATGCTATCTATCATAGTTCGAATATTTGTTACAATCGTTTCCGTTGTATACATGGATTTCAATAGTGTCCTCAGGGATTAGTCGTTGTATTTGTTCATTATAGAATTGGGGACAGAATCCAAAACAGTGGCTCATATTGTATCTTCTTTTTAACTACCAACGATTAAGTTTTTTCTTTCCTTATATGGAATGTTCGTTAATACTTTACTAGTTAATACAGAATTTGAGATATCTTTGCTGTTGTGACTCGAGTCAAGTGCTTTCGTAGCTTCTACATTGTAAGGCTATGTGCCTATGGCTTTCATATTGATTGTTTGTTTGCTTTTGTGTTAATGTTTAGTGTATTTTTTTGCCAAAAAAAGACCCACAAATTTTATCATTTTAGATAAATTTTATTTGTTAATTTTTCATGTAAGTAAAATTCTAAGTTTGGCGTTTGCGTTTAGAGTCAACAGAAAACGTTTAACCATTTTAAGCAAATATATGTTTTATATTTTATGAAATTTTAAATTATATTGTAATTGTTTTCATTAATGGACTGGAACAAATAAAATGTAAAAATTGTCGTTGAATCAAGTCCTATATTTATTTTGGATGGTCGAGTGTTCAAAAAAGCGTTAGATGTTTAGGCGGACGGACGATCCAGAAATATTAGTTTTTAAACAAATAAATTGTTTTAGATTGACAAAACGCCTACATTATCTAGACCGTTTATAGACTGTTCAAACTGTCAAAATTTTCTCTGCATATAAATTTGTTGCATAAAATATAATCGCCATTAGTGAAAAGTTAAGACAGGACTGGTTCTGCTTTCAACGAAAAGGTATTTATCTTCCTTTAGTATCTTTTGTTTTCCTCGTAATCTAATATTTAAATTTAAAGTTAAAACTGTATGTCTGTATATCTCGGACGTAGAAGGTTAACAAGGAGCAAATGAATTAAAGAAGTCATAACTAGATAAGAAAACAGTGACACTCCCAATAATTTGGTTGACGAAAACAGTCAATACAGATGGCATCGGCGATGGATAGAGGGAGAGTGAAGAGAGGAAAGTATATTCGATATCCAAAGAGCAGATTCTCTTCGGGTCCGGCTCTTGAACTATGATGGCTTTTTCTGTACTTAATCAATAAGCTTCATGCTCATGTCCACGTTAATAGTGTGACAACGTACATATCAATCATCTTTTTCTCTCTTTTCTTTTTCTCGTATCTTTTACAATCAGTAGATTGCGACTTTTGAGACGAGATTTGATTTTTGTAACTAAAGCTGATCATTTCACATGTCCTTACTCCTTATGATATATGATTGGTACAGTGGATCAACTAATATGAACGGGTAAAGCCTTAAAGCCATCATCAATCCAGTGCGTGGATTACTTTTGAGTACTATGCTTGTTCTTTTGATTAACCATTATATAGAAAAATAAAATAAAAAGTACGTCCTATTGAAAACAAAAACAAAAAAAGTACCTGCCTATATGTAAATTTGTATTGATATTTATAAGATTTTTTTTTTCTTATAAAGTGGAAGTAAAATTCAAGAGAGTTAAGATGAAGAGGACGATGAGAGTAATATGTGGTGAACATTCAAAAGTAAATTTAGTCATATATCAATTGAATGTTTCTCATGAATTGCTGAACGTACTTAATAATAATTGTATTCACATCACGTACGGCAAGATCTCAATATATAAAAATAAATACATATGAATCGGTATTACATTTTAATGACATAAAGTATTCTTTTTAAATTTTTTATTTTCCCAACAACGTATTGCTTTTAGCCAACGGTTTGGAAGAATATATATGTTGATTATGTTTATTTTGATTAAAAGACGTGGGTTTAATTAATTGATACCTTGCCACCATGATGATAGTTTAATGACTTATTGGAGATAATCTTGGCTCGAACAAAGACTAATGTTAGGAGACCGAACGGATTATGTATCATTCATGATTGAGGGAAGAGAGACAAGTTGTTAAACAAAAATTATTTTAGTACATTCTATAAACTGTTGATGCAAGTGGATCGAAAAGTCTCTGGTCTACACTCTACACTACCTAATCTCCATTATTATATTGTTTAGTTATGATAGTAGATATACATCAATTACCGATTAGAGTGGTTCCAAGAGATCTTACAGCGGAAAAGACTCTCTTAACTACTTTCTTCAATATTTTTGTTTGGGCATTCTTGTATTTTGGGACGTCTCCTGAAAACAATGACATCTACAATATTTGTCGTTATGTGAAAATTATTTATTTGCTGAGTTCTAGTTCATTTATCAATTACCATTACATGCTATGATAATAATTAAAGGAATGGCCACTTTACAGAAAACAAAAAGTTATAAGATAATCTTTTAAGAAAAAAAGTTATAAAATAACTAACGAAGAAAATGGGATTAGAAAGAACTAAATCTATGGACCATCTTGTGTGAATAAACATTGACTTGAATTTTAAATAACATCCACTCTTATTCATTCAAATCCAACTATTACTCTGTCTCAAACTAAACAAACAAAAACATCGACTTATATGTTATACAAATATCTCTTTGGACGAAATTTTGTAACTCTATTGGAAAAAGGAAATGCACGTACGTACAATGTAAGTTTCTGATGATTGTATATTATTAATTGTTTGTCACCATAGATGTACAATTATTTTCTTCTATGACGATCGACAGAGTAACAATTTTCCCCCAGCATTTTCTGACACTCCACAAGCCACAGTTCACACTGTAACGGACCTGACTACTTCACTAGCAAAAGACAAATCTAGCTGAGATTTTTTTTTTTTTTTTGATAAAAAGTTAATGTTTGTTATATATCGTTGTCCCCTTCATAGTCTCACCATAGTAAATAGTAATATATTTTTATTGAAGTATACAATGAACAATGTCAAAAAATAGAACATAGTTCCACCGTAAGTTGTTTTGGTACGGATATAATAAAATATTTTAGTTAACGCAGGATCTTATAACTCGTACACATGTTATATAAGATATATTTTGAACATATATAGGTATGTTTTCTTATAATAGAAGAAGTAAGTGTTTAAAACTTTTATATACAAGGGTGTGTCGACAGAATATGTTGATGATGTTTTCTACTTCGTAAAATTATATATAAATATTGACCAATGACTTTTCAAAGTGGACATATGGCGTTAAGTTAACTAATCCTAATTTCATGATACAACATTTTTTTTTATCAAATACGATAAAAACAATAACATGTATCCTTCTGTATTGTATGTGTTGTATATATTTTCTATTAGAAACATTTTTTCTTTCACCATAGAAACAGCCAACAAGCCGCCCTGACCCCAAAGAATCAACGAACCTCGCTATTAACGCTTAATTTAAGACGGACATAGACTCCAAAATAATAATTAAAATAAAGAATTTTTGTGATAATACATGTTAAATATGATTATTAATGATAATAAAATTAACAGAATATAAACAAATTAAATTAAAATTAATAGAGGACACATTC